AAACGATGAGCGAGAATCGCGCGTTGCAACCCGTTGATTTTTAAGAAATATATCATGATCTAGTTCAAACCCGCGTTCATTTTAAAATTATGAAATTTCTTCTGGCCTACGAGTTTGCTGGGGCGCTTTTTCTGACCCCCTCGTCTGAACCCAAGTGAGCCCACCTCTAATAGAAGCCCACCCTGAGAGAGAGAGAGAGGTTGAAAAATAGAAGCCCATGGGTTTCTATTAGAGGAAATACGGTAAGTGTTTTATCAGTTGACACCTTTCTGATATCTTGTATAGGAATAGAGATAATTGAGCTCAAACTTGACAAGGGTGAGGGGGCTTCTATTACAGGTTTCAGGTTATTGCATCAAAAATGCATTGAGGAATTTCTAATGATTGAAAACTTTAACCTATATAGAAATTGAAAACTTAAAAAATCTCAATTTCCCATAGGGTTCGCTGTGGTATGCTGTTGCGCTTTAATGAGAAGGTGACGTGGCAAAGTTTTTGGCTTGTGGGAGATTAATTTTGATGTGAAAAATCAACAAAAATTGCAAAATTTTTGCGTTTCTCAATATTATCTACCCTGAAACCTGTAATAGAAAGGCCCCCAAACTGCCAACTTTTGGCTCAATGATCTCGATTGCTGTGAAAGGTATAAAAAATGTGTCAACTAATAAAATAAGGTCACCAAGAAGATTCTTCACACCAAAATCAAGTCAACTTATAAAATGCTTTTGATTTTATGATAAAAAATTTTCAGTCAACAATTTTTCGATATCTTTGACAGGAAACAAGATATATGGGTTCCACGTTGGAAGTTAGGGCGCCCTTATATTACTGGTTTTACGGTATATACTTTGAGTTTTCGGTCTGAACCAATATTGTTTTTCAAATGTTATGAAATTGAATTCGTTTTATTGCAAGACAAATATCATTGTATTCTAATAAAATGCGACCTAATGAGATGGAATGGGGGTGCCTAGCCGTCGATCACAGTTTATGGTTATGAGCGTGTTTCTCGTTTTCCTCTTTTCCACATTTAAAATGGGGAAAAGGCTCCAAACAACCTATAAGAACACTTGAAAAACAACATATGAAGCTTCAAATAGCTTCCAATTATCCGCTCTAATGATACAGTAATGGGCTACTCCTTTTTTGGTACCGGCTTATGCTCACTTAAGCTCTTTTTATTAGTACCCGCCAGCAGGAAACGAAGCTGCGGTTGAGAAAAAGAAGAAGAGGACAATGAGAAGTGCACTTTCCCATCTTTTATTATGTTCTTTTATAATGCCGAATTTAGGTTTAACGACATCTAAATAGGAAAATAAAATAACCAAATAATACGAGAATGAATAGTATCAGGTGCTAAAATAATAGTATTTTTGGTAACTGACCCACTGGCCTTGGTACCAGTCTGTACACTCGTATATCTTCTATTTGAATTGTAGGTTTTATGTGTTTCAAAAATTGATTATCTTCCTTTTCCTCCTATGACAACTTCTCCATCTCTTTTCGCGCGGCACCCGATGCCAGTATCCCGCTGTTTTCGAAATACTAATAGTCACTGGGGGATCTGAAGAGAAGCAGAGAGTTCCGATAATACAGACTCCAATGCGACCTCTCTATCATTATTTTGAATTTAATTCAATTCAAAAACCTACCAGCGAAAAATTGAACCCCGCATATTGGGGGACACAGGAAAACTGCATTGTCACTGACAAGGGAATTTCGAACAGAAAGCTCTTCAGAATTTTTATCTAAATTGGCTCATTCATAGAATCGAGGCCTTTGGGTAACGATAATATCTACCTAAAAAACTCACTGAAGTTTGAGAAAGATCGATCCGAAAATATGGGATTTACGCGAGTCCTTCCTTTCCCTCTTCCTCTAGTTTCCCTCTAGTTTCATGACAGTTTTCACAAGTTATCTTTCCAGGTTTCTGAGAGAGTTCTCACACTGAATTGTTTTGTCATCATCATCAGACAATGGTGGGATTGATACATGCTGAAATGTAACTCATCTGGGAACGACAATTTGTCAATAAGGAAACAACGGAAAAGATGAAGATGTGAAGATGGGCCCACTTACGATCACTACTGTGCCTGGGAACTGTCATTGATAGTTCCAAACGTGCTTGTGGCAAATTTCCTATTTTTGAAAAAGTGTCAGAAAAAAACATTAATTTAGAAAAGAAACATAAAATACTGTAAAATCTGTATTAGAATTGAACTCTCTTCTATTATTTCAAGGTTTCTCCAGAGGTTGCTTCTATCACAGTGGCCCTTCAATTAGAGGGAGTACTTCTATTCTTCGGTGTTTTTTTTTGAGAAATCCATCGATAAATTCAGTATATTCTCGTTAAAAATGTATAAAAATCTACCAACTTCCGTAGGATGTTTCAGAAAATAAACTATCTAATTTTCTGTTAATTTTTAATACCGTTTTTTCTCTAATAGAAGCTTATCCAACCTGTCAACGTTGAGCTCAATTATCTCAATTCCTGTGAAAGATATCAAAACTTTGCTAACTGATAAAATGTTGGTGATATTATGATGAAAAATTTATCAGTTGATCTCATTTTGATATTTGTCACAAGAATTGAGATAATTGAGCTCGAAGTTAATAGTGTTGGTGGGCTTCTGTTAGAGGAAATTCGAAACTTCCGAAATTTTTTCATTGAAAAACAAAATGACTTTTTAGGGACTCTTCATTCTGAAAATTCGTTCTAATACTGATAATATTTCTTACTTGTCCCGCCAAATACTGAAAACGTTCCAATCGAAAAACCCTCGTTTATATTTCCGTCTCTTCGACACCTACATTAGACCGGTCCTCGAATACGGTTGTGAACTTTTCGATCCATCCAATGCCTCACTTGCCAATAAACTAGAATCTCCTCTTCGTTTTTTCACCAGAAAAGTCTTTCAGAGATGTAATATGCCCTTCAATTCATACACCGATCGCCTTTCCCAGTTCTCTATGCTAATCACCCTTCATCGCTGCACCCTTCTAGTTCTTCGTACCTATCACAAAATTGTTATAAACTCATACCATTTTCCCTCTATGTCGTCCTACATTCTTCCCAGCCATTCTAACAGAGCCCCGTATTTGTTCAAAATCAACGGTCAATACTTTGACTGCTTCCTTCACAGAAACTTGCCTATGTGGATCCGTGTATGTAAGGTGATAAATTCTAAGCTCAGTCCGGTGGCGTTTGCTAAGCGAGTAGGAGCGATTCCTTATGATATTCTGATCCCTCCCACTTGACCTACAGGACTCTAGTCGGTCCGTCTGGTCATTTTACTTTTTTATTTGTACAGGTCCCATTTCTTGCCAAATTATCTATCGATTTCCCCCCATGCATTGCTAATAAATAAATTATTATTATTATTCAGCACGGTATTTCAAACCAGCGGGTCGAAAATCGCGCTCCAGATAACTTTTAGGCCAAACAAAATTTAATAATTTCAAAGTTGACGTGGATTTGACCTATATATTTTTTAACAACGCATTGCAACTCTCGATTTTTATGCTCAATGTTTAAAAGTTTGATTCTCAGCAAACGAAATTCGACACGTTGCGCAGTGATTTTTCACATTCGCTGGGGCGCGATTTTCGACCCGCTGGTTCGAAATACCATGCTTCAGTCATTGAAAAGTATTCATTCTCATATAATTTTCATTTAATTTTTCCCTTTCTTTTCATCCAGATTTTTTCACCACTAGCATGGAAAAATACTGATTTTTGTACATAATTTGAAGCATTTTAGCCGTTCGAACGCTGCCTATAATGATTTTATACTGTTCAAATGGATTTGTTTCTCTGAATTTTCTTTTTTTTTTGATTACCAACAATTCTAAAAAGATAGAACATTACTTTTCTGATTTTCCCGAAAACTAGTTTATCAATATATCATTTCTTTTATTATGTCGAACGAGAAAATAAGAAAACCTTCTGTCATGAGACATGACTGATAAGATATGTTTTCATCAATTTATAAACATGTCAAATCAAAGTTTTATAGCAAATTCATATAATCTGAAAAAACATAACCCGTAAAATCAACCAATAAAATGAAAAAAAAATCCAAAATTAAAAGTCATTATCATTACCATATCCCTGTAATGCTCTCAACAACTTCCAATATCTGTAGATTATGACAGTGGCAAAGAATCTCGCAACGAACCAAACGAGAAGCAAAGATCCCATAATGATTCCGAATAATCTCGCGTTCCATTCATTTCCTTTATACTGTAGAATATCATTTGTGTAGGCGTAAGGGAGAACTGATAAGCAGAAGAATCCAATCGCCAAAACAACGTCCCAGAGGAAGGTCAGCGTCTGAAATTCATAATTGAGAAAATATAGTGAGTATTGAAAGCACTCACTAGGAAAATCAAATGGGTTTGAAGGAATTTATGTGCTTCATTGATAACTCCATACCACAAAATAACCACTTGAGCTGTGAGCATGATAAGGTTGACACCAGTGAACACGACACTCCCTGAAAATATAGAATATTGATTTTAGGATTTCGAAAGAAGCCAAAACTCACAAGCTCTCTGATGGTGGATGATTGCGAAAAGAAGCAGGATTCCGTAATACGCCCAGTAGGCGACTTCCATGGCTCCAATCAGAATGCACGCATTCTGAAAATTGTATGAGTTCTGAGTAATCGGAATTCTAAAGTTACCTTGTAGGTCAATTTTCCACAGCAAACTTTTTTCTCCTCTTCGTAATAGACATCCCTCATTGGAGTCATTTTATAGGTCATAGGAGCGTTGTTCATTCTGAAAATCGTGTGGAATTAGCTGATGTTGAAAAATTTATGGAAGTAGAATCATGCATGAATGTTCTTTAAAAGAGAATATAGGGGTTTTCTAAACAATAAAATATAATCGGAACACTTGTCACATAAAAAAAGGAAAGTTTCAAAAAAGTCAGAGGACACAATTCAGATTTGAAGTATTAATAAAAGGGAAAAATTCGGGAGGTGGAAAATTAATTGATCCAGGATTTTTACCGCCTGAATTACTAATTTTGTATCAATGAATCAGTTGTACCCCATTGTACCCCCAGAATTTTTGATCTACTAAAAGAACACTCACCAATTACAAAACCATAAAACTACTGTACGAGTAATAGCTCAATATGAACTGTAAACATGAAAAACCTATTTCAGCACTTTTTCCTTTTATGTATTTTGTTTTCTATTTTGTTATCAGTTACTACAGAGCAGCTCATGATATCATTTTTAATAAAAACGTCTTTGTAGGGAAATAAATAATTTTTAAAAAGTCAAGAATATTATAAGTCGATGCCAAGAAAAAAACAAACAAAGAAGAGTGAGTCCCAAAGTGCAAAAAGCAAACAAATAGTGAATTTTTTCTCATATACTCTGAGAATTTCGTATGTTTCTCACTTTCTATTAGTTTCGAAATTGAATGTGAACTTACCATATTTCCTCTAATAGAAGCCCACCCAAACCATCAACTTTGACCTTAATTATCTCTGTTCTTATGAGAGATACCGAAGTTTTGTCAACCTATAAAACATAGGTGATCTTGTGATGAATAATTTATCAGTTGTTACATTCTAATATCTTTTACAGAACTCGAGATAATTAGGGTCAAAGTAGACGGTTTAGATGGGCTTCTTTCAGAGGAAATACGGTAATAAGGAAACTAATGCGGCGAAGGGTTAACAGTCTCTGAAAACGGGGATAATATCATATGACGTCTCAAATTTTCAAAAATAATGTTGAGAAAGACAAAGTGGAAATGCGCTTATTCTGTCTCGTCTACAGAATCTGAATTTCGAGCGAAGATTGAAAAGAAGAGTAAAGACAAATGAAAACGACGATGATGGATGTGATGATGAAGACACAAAAATAAAAAGATTGTGTTTTTTTGTGTGAAAAAGAAGAAGAAGAAGAAGGAAATTGGACAAGTTTTAAGAAAAAAGAAAAAGAGGGTCAGACACAGAAAATTTATAGTCGTTCAAAGTGTGTTTCAAATTAGTTAACGTGTGAATCCAATGCATTTTTTGCAAGGGTCAAAGTCGAAAAACTTAGGGATATTGGTGGTTAATAGAATATGTCTGAAAAATGGGAAAGTGTGAAGAATAATCTCAGAAAGAAAAGGTTATAAATCGGATTAGGGGCCGTAGAGATGTTTTCAGTGAACTAGGTGTTATCCTGGGTTCAAAGAATATGTTATTATTTTTGAAACATTTCGAAATATATTATAGAAAGCCGATAATATTTTTTCAAAAATTCAGGAACAGTTTTTGAACATAAAGCGGTAGAAAAAATCTACAAGGAAGTGGTTTACCTTCTCTGCAAATTTTTGAATAGGTTAGAATAAAAACAATAAAGACTTTATTATTATTCTGTTTTATTATTATTCTCATACAAAAATTTGTAGCTGTTTAAGAGGAACTCCGGTGACCGTGACCGAAAGTCCCACAGCAACAACTACCGTAACCCAAAAATATATTTAATTTCTGGTTTTTTTCTCAATATCAAAAAATTTAATTTTCCCATTTTTTTTTTGGAAAAAATAACAGAGAAATCGACAGGAATCAGTTAAAAACGAGAAAATAAATCCGGAAAATAAAAGTATTTTAGGTTACGGTAGTTGTCGTTGTGGGACCTTCGGCCATGACCACCGGCGTTCCTCTTCCACAGCTTAATTTTTGAAATATAATTTTACTCACCTGTCCTTCATTATTTCTTGAAATCTTCCTTCTGTCAGCAAAAATTGAAATCTGAAAAAATTTTAAAAATCTTGAAGCCTTATTAAAAAAACAAGACGACCAAAAATATTCAAAAAGATATAAGTTCAGCAAACAAAAAATGGAATGTTGACAAATTTGGAGCAACAGAGCCGCCCTCTTGGCTACTCGGCTTGTTTTTCTCGAAAATTCCCACTAGACGATGCGAAAAAAACGACGGGTTGTTTATATCATGATTCCAGCTGTTTCAATTCAATGAGTTAAAACAGAAAAAGAGAGAGAAGGAATCTCTTCTTGAACCCGAAAAAAGTGAAAAATGTGTATTTTATAAAAAAGAGGATCTGGGTGTTTGGGTTTCATCAACACCACGACATTATTACAACAAGTGGGTTGTCAAATAGACAAAAAGCCAACGGAAACTTGCTCGTTTCTCATCAAATGAATCGCACATTTCCGTTATCAGTTCCGAAGTGGGGCAGAGAATGTGAAAATTCAAATGGGCAATGACTCAATTGTTGAATCATCCATTTTTCCCTTTTTCTATTTTTTTAATCTGCTGTGCATACTTGAGCAGATGTATTGAATAGTTTATGATAAAATCTCTGTAAATAAATATCTGAATAAATTAATTGTTCAATGAATGCATGGAAAAACACAGGAAGCTCACAAATGATAGAACTATAGGGAAAGGAGGGAAAAGAAAGCAAAAAAAGTGAAACGGATGACAAATTGACTTGAAATGGGCGTAGAGATGATGAGCAAGGTGGGAAAGTAAAGACTAGTAAAGGAAGAAGGAACGTTATGCGAAATATACAATTTGACAAGCTAGAAAAATATATCAGAGAAATGGCTATTGTGAGTCCTTGTTGCGCATAAATTGAAGAATATCCTTCTTTGTGATGATTCCAAGCACCTTTCCGTTTTTCGTAACCAATACATGTCGAAGTCCGAGTTTTCGGAACATATCGATTACGGTTTCCATAGGAGTTTGGTCTGTGACTGTCATTGGAGCCTGAAGAAATTTCATGGATAGCTTAAGAATAATACGGTACTCACCATATCTAAAATCTTTCGTAATCTCAGCGGCGCTGGTCCTCCGGGCACGGAATCAGGTACACCATCCGAGAAATACGCAATCGAGTTGGTGACAACATAAGGCTGAGTTTTTCGAGCTGTGTGCAGAGCAAGGAGTATGTCTCGTCTGCAAAATTTTATTTTATAAATCAAAAACTTCGAAGAATGCTCCGTACCGTGTAATGAATCCTACCAAATGCATACTGTTTTGTGAAACAACAACTGGGAATCCATTGAAGTCCGTCTGACGGAGCAAACTTTCTAAATCCCCGAGTGTCATTCCACTCTCTGTGATCACACTCAACTCGTTCTTCAGCTCCCTCAAATCACTCATTGACATCTCATCAGCGACTTGACGATGAATGGAAGGTCGCATAACTTGGCTGGCAACTGTAGAATATGGGTATTCTCCTTTGGAATCGAGGAATGGATATCCATTAAGTTCAATATGGGCTTCGTAGATTCCCTGGAAAACCCCCTTTTATTTGAGAATCCAAACAGAAAACTAACCATTTTCGAAATTCCATCTCCAATCCACTTGGAAAACATTGTAGCCACCATAGTTGGTACAATGAATTCCAGACTTCCAGTTAATTCGAACATGATGACGACAAGAGAAACAGTCATTCTGGTGACACCTCCGAGAACTGCAGCTGCTCCAACCATAGCATACAAACCAGGCATGACACAATCTTTTCCAATTTGGCAGGTAAAGTATTCAGAATGTCCGGGAGTAGCTTGAACTGCTCGGAAGATTTGATCAACAGTGATTCCAAGAATACGTCCAGCGATGGCACCCATACCGATTGATGGAACGAATAAACCACATGGAACTTTGATACCGAACGTAAAGATAGTAATTATGAACTTGAAAATTAGAGCCCATAAGAGTTGACCAAATGCAATACTCAATGCCTTGTTCTGATCACAGAGGGAGTCTTCCTCGACTTGGTCTTCACATCGATCAAAGAGTTGTTGAATCATAGAAAGAGCAGATTTACGGGTGAATGGATTGAAGTAGGAGATAGCTGCTGTGATAAGTGTAATGACAATGACTTCGTAGATTGGGTTTCCTCCGAGCATCTTGGAATTTTTACGGAACCGAGACCACCTACAAAAAATTTACTTTCGAAAAATACTGAATTTAAAGTATACCTGATATTGGCGAAGATGAAAAGACTGCCAAGTATTCCTCCAAAAAGTCCCAATAGTGCAAATGGTACAAGCTCAATGAACGTCCATTTCATCATATAATCCACGTGGAACAGTGATGTCTGAAAACAAGAATCTCAGTCCCAAAAATCAATTTAACAACTCACCTGATTACTTCCAAACGGATTAACGAATCTGAGAATGATTCCTGCAACAAGAGCGCAAAAGAAGGATCTCCACATCGTTTTGAGAGGAAAGTAGTAAGATGCTTCTTCTAAACTGAACAAAACTCCTCCAATCGGGGCACCGAAGGCGACACTGACTCCAGCAGCAGCAGAAGCTGATAGGATTTCACGCTTCTTCGCTTCATTCAATCCATATTTCGGGAACAAGTACGAGAAGATGTTTCCAATACAGCAAGCTAGATGAACCATTGGGCCTTCTTTTCCAAGTGATAAACCAGAAGCGGAGGAAAGAATGAGACCGACAGATTTGATAATGAATGTCCATTTTCCCAAATATCCACGAATTACGAATCCAGAAAGGATGCATTTGATCTCAGGGATTCCCGAACCGCAAGCATAAGGGGCGAAAATTTTAACGAAGAGTACCGCAAGAGTGGACATTGCGACAGCCCAAACAATGTAGAATATCCATTCAATAAACGAGAAGAGCAAACTTGACGAGTTATAGTAATTGATCATCCATGGCCATTTTGTCCACGCACTGCAGCTGTCGTCTTTGTAAAAAGTATCGTTTGACGACCAACAACAGTGTTCTCGATCTAACCAGAAACGATCTGCACAAACTCCTGTCTGAAAATTCGAGAGTAACAAAAAGTTTGATCCATGCTTTTAAACCTTCAAATCACTCATCCATCTAGCTCCAATATCGATAATTCCAGCAGTTGCTCCGGCAGCTAGACCAACGAATAAAACGCATATCCATCCTGCACCGGCATCCCAGCCGGACTGCAAGAGACCCAGAGGAAAATCGACTCTGAATAATAATAATAATATATTTTATTTGCAATGCATGGGGGGAAATCGATAGATAATTTGGCAAGAAATGGGACCTGTACAAATAAAAAAGTAAAATGACCAGACGGACCGACTAGAGTCCTGTAGGTCAAGTGGGAGGGATCAAAATATCATAAGGAATCGCTCGTACTCGCTTAGCAAACGCCACCGGACTGAGCTTAGAATTTATCACCTTACATACACGGTTCCACATAGACAAGTTTCTGTGAAGGAAGCAGTCAAAGTATTGACCGTTGATTTTGAACAAGTACGGGGCTCTGTTAGAATGGCTGGGAAGAATGTAGGACGACATAGAGGGAAAATGGTATGAGTTTATAACAATTTTGAAACAAGGAACTATGACTAAAATCGTTGAAAAAAGCAAAACTCACTTCTTTTTTGATATCATTTTATGTCGTAACCGATCTCGGGCCAAATCTCTTTGCCAATCAATTGTGTGAAAATCTCCATATTTGCTGAAATCATAGATTTATTAGTTTTTTTTTTCAAATTTGATTACTAAATACCTAAAAAATGGGGGAACCATAACGTCTGGGAGATCGTCGTCTGTTTTGAATCTGACGTCATCGATCGCACCGAAAGGGTTGAAGTCGCTGGAAGAGCTGCCGCCACCTAGAAAGTTCAGTTCACATTATGACCGTTCATCGTGGGTAGTTCTCTATTCGGTCACCTGCAGTCATATCAAGATGTATCGTGGCAGAATTTCCACTGGGCTCCAACTCGACTTCATCTGAAGAGCCGAGCGTTGAAGAGCGTCCTGCTCGCTCCATATCAAACTGAAAAAAAAAACCTGGACTGAAAAAAAAGAAGAGATGAGGAAATAACGGAGAAGGGTCGATAGAGGAATAGAAAGATGTTTTTCTTCGGAGAGCTTCGCGACAGAGAAAGAAAGATTGGTAAACAGCGTTTCGCAAGAGAAAAATGAGAAAATTGTGTTAATGAAAAATGTATGAACAAAAAGATAAATGCTCCAAAAACGGAAAACGAATGGTAATCAACTCATTAATCAGAAAACCTCCGTTCATAGAGATATTAGTGTTTGAATAATTTGAATAATATCGAAAAAGCTCAAATTTCAGTGTTTACTGCGATAAAAATTTCAATTACCGTACTTTAAAGGACGTTACAGTTTTGATACATTTTGAGGAGCTCGGATTGCGCCTTAAATAGTGGTTACGGTCACTGAAATATTTGCAACGAATGCGCTAAGCTCTTTTTCTTCTAATTTGATATTCCGTTCGTTTTCATTCAAATCTAATTGCTTAAAGTTATAAAATAACAAATATAAAAAAGTCCAGCCACCCAAGAGTGCTCAAAAACACTCAATTCTGGCATAATAAGAGGGAATTTCTAATTTCATTGGAAACATTGCCGAAATTCTTGCTGAAATTCTCTGGATTTCGATCAATAACTATTTTCCTGAATTCACTTATATTCAGGTTTTACAAATTATAAATACTTTAACGAAAAATTTCCAGACAGTCTCAATCAGATGAAAACACGTCATCAGGTGATAACATATCAGAAGCGTTACTGGATCCAGCCTGATTCCAGATCGAGTAATGTGCCTTCCTTTTTACTGGCGCGCCGCCAGACACCATTTGCGCGTTTCTTGCGACGAATTCATTTAAATCCCTGCGAATATCAGTTTATATGCGAAACCAAGGAAACGGCTATTGATTTTGATGTTATTGACTTCTCTCACACAACTACTACTTTGTTCGGATTGACTAATGCGTTTTTCTTTTACAGAAAGCATGGAGAACGTACAGGCGCTTTGCAAGCAAATCGACGGAATTTGCAAAAATGGAGCAGAATCGACAGAGGAATGCAGCAAACTACTTGACGAACTTGCCAAAATTCCGATGAACCTTGAAATTATTCAGGTAAGAAAAGTTTCAAATTTTCTAAATGACAATCTCCCATTTTCTTTCAGAAAACGAGCGTTGGAATGAAATTGAACGCAATGCGCAAAAAATTTCCAGATGAGGCTCTGGCCAAGAGAGCCAAATCCATTATCAAGGTAAAAATCGAAAAAAAAACATTGTTTCAATCTCAACGTAATCCTTTCCAGGAATGGAAAAACATCGTTGATGGAAAGACCAAATCGCAAGATGACGACGCACCACCATCTAAAAAACAAAGAAAAGAGAGTGTTGAAGAGGTGAAAGTTGAGAAAAAGAAACTGGAAGCTCCATACAAGAAACCAGAGACAGTCAATCGACCAGAGATCGTCGCACAATTTGCGAGTGCTTCGTTCCCGCCAAAGCATCTTGAAAATGACGAAACTCGTCTTAAATCGGCCCAACTTCTTCTTTCGGCATTGCGGTACGGGGAGCTGCCAGATGGAACTCTGGACCCAGAAGAGCTAGCCGTTCAAATTGAAGAGAAACTGTATTCGGTGAGTTAAACGAGACGATTTTTGTGCATAAGAGTTTATCTTCAGGTACATCGTGACACAAACAAGAACTACTCGGCTGCTGTACGCAGTCGCATTTTCAATCTCCGTGACAAGAAGAACTTGGCTCTTCGTGAGAATGTCCTGACTGGCGTCGTCCGAGCCGAGAAGTTTGCCACGATGACCAGCGAAGAAATGGCTTCACCAGAAATCCGAGAGATGCGCGAAAAGTTTACCAAGGAAGCAATCTTGGAGCATCAAGTGAGCGTCCAGCAAGGAACACCATCAGACATGTTCAAGTGTGGAAAATGCGGAAAGAAGAATTGCACTTACACTCAGCTCCAAACACGTTCGTCCGACGAACCGATGACCACATTCGTCTTCTGCCTCGAGTGCGGTAATCGCTGGAAGTTCTGCTGAATGCATTTTCTTTTTAATAATTTATTACATTTACCATTGCCAGATATTCCTCTAATTTACTCTTTGTCGGATACTCAGTTATGTTTTCTGTTGTTTAAAAGCATCGCAGTCATCGGGGAACGAAGATCGAGGACAGTGAGCGGAATGCTCCATTTTCAACTCGGCCATCTTTCCCCTGATTTCTACCGTGTTTTTCAAAATGCCTCCGACAGGTTGGACTTTGTGTAATATTCTTTGATAACTGTTTGGTTTATATTTCCACCCCCCTCCTCCACTTTAGCATTCACTCCCAAATGTCTGAAATCATTACGACTTGTTCAACATCTTTCACATATGAACCATTTGTTTAGAAATTGATATACAAATTAGAATAGCACAAGCAGGATAATTTAGTATAATGCTTTTCCGTGGTCTTTGAGTCAGCGATTAAGAAATATCCTTGATAACCATGATGACGTGATCCTTGTCCGGAGCGATCATAATCTCGTTCTTCTTGGTACGCAACCTCAGGAAAGTGAGGTCATTACTCGAGTCAAGCTCACGAATCGACGTCTTCGTCTTCTCGCACAACTGTTGAAGGAATGCAGTGTGAGATTGGGTAGCATCGCTGTCGATTGTTGAATGAATGACTCTTCCTAGAATGGTTTAAATTTGAGGCAATTCAGCTAATTTGTTTGGTTAGAAAGGATATAAAACATACCAGCCGAGTCAACAACAATGATTCCAACGACTCCTTTCTCCGATTGCAAACGACGAATAGTTTCTTCGAAGTCGGACATCTGGAAAATTCGGCATTTCGAAAAGAAAGAGTTTGGAAAACGACGGCACTGGAAAAGGCACACAACTGAAGTTGGTTTCTCTATTTTCCATTCGAAGAGATATAAATTCAATTTCCTTTGGCCGGATATTGAGAACCCAAAAACGAAAAGAAGATATTCGAAAGTTGTGAACAACTTTTGGCAGAATAACGAAGCAAAAAAATAGGAGAAAAAAAGATTTTCAGATAAAATACAGCAGATTTTAGAAAACATGTTTCAAAGTACGAAAAATTGGGGTTATAAAAGTGAATGGAGGGAGATCATTTCACAGATGTTCTCGTGAGATAAATGAGTATTTATAAGGAGCAGTGACCAACGGAAAGAAAAAGTATATATGGAAAAGGGGAGATAGTGAGCAGCAAAAGATGTGACGACAGAAGGGGCGGATTCTGATTCAATTACTGCCGTTTTGCCTTTTTGGAGGAAGAAGGTGCATATTTCGCTGCCAATGCGTCGAGGAACGAATCATTTTTCTCTTCGCGCTTTTTCTGGCGACCTCTGATTAGAGCCATGAGATCAGCATCACTCTGGAAATGCATTATATGAGGAACGGTACGGTGGTTGATCATTGATAGTGTCCAAAAATGGAGAATTTGCTTACATTCGTGAGATTCTCAGCTTCAGAGGCCTCCTTCTCGGCTTTTCGTTTGTAAGCAATCATCTTTTTCTGGAAAAAAATTAGATAAACATTAACTTCTATAATTGAATTAATACCTCCGTTGTGCTCGTCTCGTATTTCTTGGTCTTCTCAATTTCACCGTCTTCAATTAAGGAATCCACAGCAGCTTTCAAGTCCTCAATGCTTTCGTATCCGATAGCATATTCTTGAATTTTGGAGATGTCTCCCTTACATTTGTTGTAGTGCATTATCAGCTCGTCCTTCTGTTCTCTAGATCCTTGATATGTCTTCATAAAGTTGTCGATATCTTCTTTTGTTACTTTTTTGAAAATCTTTCTCCATGCCTTCAAAACGTCTTCATTAAGCTCTTCATCGTCGACCGAGCCCGTTTCATCATAAATCTTTCTTCTTTCGTCATCCGACAAGATTTGGTAGGCCTTGTTGAGAAGTTGAAACTTGGTCGTGTAGGTTTGCTTTTCCTCTTCACCAAGATTCGATTTATCCGGATGCCAGCGCATTGATTGGCGGTAATAGCCCTTTTTCACTGAAATCGATATTGAACAGTAATTGCAAACAAAAGAAAAGCATACGTTCTTTCCCATCACAATCCTTCTGCACGCCGAGAAGTTCGTAGAGACATTCTGTGTCAAAATGTTTTTTGCAATCCTCCAGAAACATTTTGAACAATTTTTTGTCTGAAAATGATAGGTTCAAATTCTTATTGTTAGTTTTAGTCCGAGAACTGTTGCGAAAGCAACATGTTGGCCAACACAGGAAATTGGGAGAAGAGAATGAGAGGAAATAGCGCACAAGCGAACAGAGTTGCAAAGCACGAATTTGAAAAAAAGCGTAAACGCTTTCTGTTTCAAAAAGCTCTTTGAGAACCAGAAAATGTGCGTTTGCAAACGTTTGTGTTAATTTTCATGTCCATGGAAACCAAAAAAAAAAATCATTTCGCCGCGCTCGATGGAGCGCGTTTGTTTCTTTTTATAGCGGGAAGTTCAAATTTTGTTTCTCTCTTCCTGCATCAATTCCCCTGCGAAATTGAGCAATTTCAATCATAATTTGAGATAATTACCAACATGTTGGCCAAAACTTCAATCGAAATTCTCTTGCAATTAAAAAAATCTGAAATTTTTTTCTCCCAACTTTTAATTTCATAACTCGTATTTCGATTTCAACATTTGAAAAAATTCTAACTTCTAAAAAGTGCACCAAAGTGACAAAACGAGCAGACTACATTGTAGCCTAAGTAATGCCTCTTTGCGGAAAGCAAAAAGGAGGCAAAGCGAGGACGAGGCCGTGCCCCGTTTTCCTAGCAAGACCATTATTCCACATACATTCCTCTCCTCTAGCCGTCTTGTTCTCTCTTTCCATCTCAGCGGCGTTTCTATTTCTTCTCAGCTCCATTGGAGCACTCCCATATCTGGCGCCTTCTTTTTCCCCTAATGATTTCTTCATTTTTTTAGAATTGGTGTTGTGTCGTCCTCGTAAATACAATTTACGGAATGCTCTTTGAAGCCGTCGTCGGTCTAGCTTCGGCGTTCGTTGTCTCTTACTTCGGGTTGGTTTCTAGTTTGTGAAAAAGCTTGCTAATTTCTTTGCGTCTCACTTTTTCTTGGCATGCAAACAATGACTCACAATCTTCAAAACTTGAAAAGCATTCGATCTCCAAACTCTCAAACTTCAGAATGACGCTAGTGGCACCATCAGAAGTCACTGACAAAGAAGCTGAAGACATTACTACTAATAAAGGTATATTTTTGATAATTCTTGTTTCTTATTTTTATCAAATTTTTTTCAAAGTTTCCAGAAGAATCAAAGAAGTCTGGTAATGAAGCGGCCATCAAAAACCTGGTTCCTGGATCCAAAACCCTTGTTGTTCTCTTTGGTTGGGCTGGATGCAAAGACCGATATCTCTCGAAATACGCTCAATATTATCAGGAAGCTGGGTGAGATTTTGACACAAAATACAGTACCGATTACAGTTTAGTTGGTTTCGCAACAAAAATTTCATAATAGTCTTTTTGTTTTACAATAATATAAAGGAAGGTACTAGTACTGTGTTAGTCATAAATCCAAGTTACCAGAAAAATGTAAAAAATTTAATTGGTTCTATCCTCAAATCTATTGAAAAACAGACAAAAATACGAAGCTAGATATTTGATACAAATTTATAAGAATACTAAATAACATTTATATCATAAAGCAATTTTCAGAATATCAACAGTTCGGTTCACTGCGCCCATTGCCAAGATCCGTAGCTTTGCATCGTACCGCCCATTTGCCAGAAGCTTCCATCAAATCCTCAACGAAATTCTCAAGGAAGACTCTGAAATCACTACCATGTATTTCCACGTTTTCTCAATGAATGGATGTTCTCTATTAGCTGCATATTGGGATCAACTAAACGAATTGGAGAATGGAAAAGAAATTCAATCCAGGTCAAAAGGGCTCATCTTTGACAGTTGCCCAGCATTCACATCACCATCCCAAAGTGCACATGCCATTTCATTTGCGACTTTGCCACCAAGCCACTACCATGGAGCACTGCGAGGATCCTACCGAGCTGTTCTCTATACATTCTTCTCCTTCCATCGAGGTGTTTTATGGTTAAGGAGTTTTTTGGATAAGGACATTTACGAGAAACATTACGCTTACTTCAAAATGATCACATTCGAAAATCTGCCGAACAAACAGCTATACATTTATGGACCAGCAGATTTGGTTCGTTTGATTTGATGTCTGAAAATTTCGAAAAAGAAACTGATTCCAGGTGTGCTCTGAAGAATCTATTGAGGACTATGCCAAGCTCATGGAAGAACGTGGAATATCGATCTCAAAATGCCGCCTTCTTGATTCTCTCCACTGCCAACACCTCCGTTCGCACCCAGTGACCTATACTCAAGAATGCTTAGACTTTGTCAAATCAGGTCATCTTCCAGCCAATCGAAGTCGTGTTGCTCTAGAAAACACAGAAGCAGCCGACGAAAACGAAGTTCCCGAAGAGCTTGCCTATTAAAAAATCCAATTTTTATTCCTTAATCAATTCGTTTTTAATACTTATAGTTCGCATAATAATTTATACTGAATGACCGGTTCATCATCTCTTTTCCAGTTTCACCTGTTCCTTCTCCGATGTCTTAGTCTTGTCGATCCCATGTTCATTATGAGCTTTAAATGTCTCTAGACCTGTTGTGATGCTAGTTTTCAATAATTTTTTTTGACTTTTTCAATCCCTGTCTTTAAAAAATCATGAAAAAGAGAATAAAAGCTGTAAATATTATCTCCTTGTGAAAAATTCATTATGCGGTTGTACTTTTTGTTTTCTTGCTTCTCCTTCCCGTTTTTCAGAATTCCTGAGCCACGTTTCGTTGTGCTTCCTTCCCCCCACGCCTACTTTTCAAAAATCACCTGAAAAAACGAATGGATGGGCGGTATGTGGAAATAGAAGAAGAGTAGAAACCAAATTGATTCCGATGTGATGTCATTTTCCACTAATCTCTCTCTCTCTCTCTCAGTTTTGCGGGGCGATTTTCGAATTGCTGACTGACAAAGAAAATTCGTTCTGTTGTGATTTCCAAATGACCGTCCGAATTGTTGATGAGCAGACATTGAAACAGTAGAAAGAGAGAATGAAGAATCGATAGAGAGAATATGAAAAAGAACAAATATGGAGACAGAGAGAAAACAAGTCCGAAAATTATCAATGATGAGTGATACTACTGTACTGATTTGATGAGTAGAAAGAAAAGGGAAAATGTGTACATTATCAGTGTGTTTGCTGGGTGGATGGACTCTCATTAGAAAAAATAAAAGTAATGAAACGATGACTATTCCTGAAAAATTAAAATGTCAAACAACAGTAATAAAAATAGGTCGTTGTAGAAAAAAGGAAAGCTGGACTTGAAACTACGGGACTGATGATGTTTCTAAACCCGGAAATCAAATGAAAAAAATAAAAGAATGATTTTCTGATAGCTGTCACGGTTCGGGAGCAGTGCGCCTTTAAAGTTGCAAAGAGAAACGCAGAGAAGCGAGAGCGCTCTCGCTTCTCTGCGTTTCTATCGGAAACTGTGTATATATCGGAAACTTTAAAGACGCATAGCTTGCTTCTATTTCAAGACAGAAGAATGAAAATTAGACAGTTTTGCGGGAAATTTCAAGGGCTCTCCATAACTCTGACTTTCAAAAAAAAATATTTTTTTAAACTTCATTCTAAGCGGAGATATGGACCATTGAAGTTGTTCATTCTTAGTCGTGCTGATTAAATCTTGGTTTCCGATTAAGATAGACCAACGAGACCAACGTTAATTTACTGAAGTATTACGGTAATATTTGCGCGCACTTATTTGCGAAGACTTTCTCAAGAAAAACAGTGTGGTCCCTCTTAAAATTTCAATAGAATAATCCGTCCCTACATTTGACTAGTCTACTTCTTTCTAGGTACACATAAACAAAATGTCAGTAAAACAAGGAAAGGAAATAGGTCCGTGTCTCTAATGAGGACCTCTGGATCTCCGTGAAAAACAAGCCGGGAGGGTGCGGAGCGCTCTCTTTTGCTCACTTTCTAGTTAAGTGGGTGGAAAGGCAAATACAGAAGTCAGCGAGAAAAGAGAGAGGAAGGGAGCATTATTTACAGTAACTACTTCCACGAACTTTATCTCCCGTTCTTTCTCTCATAGTCTCGCTTTTCTCTCTGTTAACCTTTTTGAAATGTCAATCAGGAGTTGGAAAAATAGAAAAAGAAACGAAGAGAGATATTCTCTGGATTCTCTCGATTTTCAATGTCTTCTTTTTTCCTTCCCGCGCCGATGTTCGTTTGTCTTTCTGCGTCTCCAGAAAATGCCACGGATCCCATATTCTGAAAAAAGAGAAGTAGGATGAGAAGGAAAAAGAAAATAGATAGAACAACAAAAGTGAGAGAGAGAAAGAGAGACAGAAGAAGAGTGAGTGTGCGTGTGACTCATTCTCGGCCCGCCAACAACTAACCCCCATCGTCGTCGTCAACCGATTCGTCATCGACGACTTCTTCTCATCATCTCCTTCTTTGATTTTCATTCAACTATCCCCAATACAAAATTCATAATCAGAAGTCATGGACGACGACGAACCGCCATCTTCGTCTTCCGCATCCTCGGAATCTCCAGAAGTCATTCTGAAGGCACCAACGTCATCTGCGAGAAAACGAAAAACCAGCAGACGGGGTGAGATTGTTTGTTTTGATTAGATACAAAAATCGAATAACGTGTTTTGTGTTTCTCCAATCGAGAAAAAGAAGAAGAAGAAGCCAACAGTTCTGATCCTTCCAAGACTTCCGGGTGGGCGAGTCTAGGTGGTCGCATTCTTATATTGGAGTGAAAACGAAAAAGGGTGTAGGAATCACATAATACCCCTTTTCAAATGCTCCTCCCATTCATGAAAGTTCACTACATTATGATCATAAAAACTACGGAACAAGTGAGACACAAATAATGAGACAGAGACGGAGATGGAACAAGAGAAGTATCGCAAAATGACACGTGATTTTCGATTTCATCGCTACTGTAGACCCACACAGCTTTTTCCTTTTCCTCAATTTGCCCAGTTCGACTCTCTGCGTCTCTTCGTCTCATATGCTATCTCACTGCCTCCACTGTACAGTTTGAACGGTGTTCTTTCGGTTTCTCGATTCGTTTTCTCGACTTGTTGCAAACCAAAACCATTGATTTGAAAGTGTTAAACCATCTGATAGAGCTCCTCCTAGTTCCCACCTGGAATCTAATTTCTCAAAAGTTCTCGCAATAAATCACTGTGTCTTCTCCTTCTGTCCTCTTCCTCTTCTCTTCTTTTCACTTTCCCATCGTCCGTGGCTCCCGAACCTAATATTTCATTTCGATGTCTGCGAGCCGATTGTGCCGAAACATCAGAGTTTTATAGGTCAAACAAATATTTAACGAGTTCTGGTTTTGACTAATTTTTTTGACTAGAATAAATCAAACTTGTTTGTTGTAGTGCTGATAATTTCAAAATCTAAAAGGCGGAACTTTAAGATCTAGAAATCAATTGCATTTTAAATTGGAAATTTTTTTTGATTCAAATTATCAACACAAGACTTTTACAGTTCATTGAGGACTCCGACCAAAGTTTTTTACCAATATTTTTCCTATCTTATATATATTTCTAAAATTATTACGGAAAAAATGGAATAAAGTGAAGATTATGCTTTGTAAAACCGGCGAACGGCGACGATTATTTGAGTTCCCACCAATCCCGCCGCGATGGCATAGGTTTCTCACTGCGCGGGAATTCAAATACTCGTCCCTATTTGCCACCCTTTTTAGCAAAATTTTCACTTTTAACGGCGTTTTTTTTTCGAGGATTTTGGATATATTTTTCATAAAGTGATGGTGTGAAATGTTATCTACAGTAATTCGTCTAAATTTTACAACTTTTGAGTTTTTTTTCCCAAACTTCAATCATCCATAAAATTTCGTATTATATTGAACGCAGTTTTCTTTCAAAATATCACCGCTTTTACACCCAAACCTTCGAAATGTATCCTTCCTCGCTAGACTATTCTCGATTTCCCCCATTTTTCTCAGGAAATGAGTCATCGCTTCGGTTTCGTAAGTGTTTTGCACACAAGTTCTCCGCCCTTTTGCTCGAATATCTGCGAAACAGATGTAGTTTCGCATTGATTAGTCTTGCGAAACGATCACATGCAGATATCATCTGTGTTTTTTGCATTGACCTGTAACAGAACTCTGACGTTTTTTGGTACAAAGAGTGCTGCTCAGGAGAAAAATAGTGTTCTCATATTTTCTACATCTCTGTTTGTCTTTTTTTCACCCCATTTTTCTTTTCCCCTTTCCACCAGAACGCGCGACGACATCTGAATATCTCCATCCTTTCTTCCGTTCACGCTCTCCGTTTTTTCTCACACCATAAACAAGAATTAGGAACATAGGGTACAGTGAAGAGAACTTAAAGTTTTTTTTTTTTGAAATTCTGGGTTTGTTCTATGACCCTGAAAAGCAACCAGGCTTTAATCCCTGAATTCTTTTTTTAAACAAGTGATCCTAATCAAATCCAAGCGACACATTCTTTTCCATGGAATTCGCGATCTTTGGTAATCCGAAACATATTGAATTCATTGAGTCAATCCCATGAGCTAGATCCCCGTTTTGTTTTGAATTCCAAAACGACACGTCATCAGTTATTGTATTCAATATTTTATTGGTCACTCCTTCTTTTTTGTTCTATGAGAAATTGAAAACAAGCACGTCTTCTGATTTCTATTCTCCAAATATATTAAAAACAATAGAAAAAATATATACAGATGAGTTACAAATGTTTGTAAAACTGTAAACCAAAGTTTACAGTGTGGAGGTTGCCCAAACAGAAAAAAAATAACTAGCAATAAGAATTCTAAAAGTTCAAATAGTATTCTAGTCCACACTCAGAATTCATTTTAAAGGAGGGCAGACATCAAAAATTTCAAAAATTTCATTTTTACTCAAAAGATATAACTCTGAAGTATAAATATAGCTATGTACTTAAAAACCTGAAAAAAAACACTTCAAGGACGAAAAAATGCTCTTTTTTGTCACCCTTATTTCTTCACTAGCTTGCTGCTGCGGCGTCGCTTCATAATGTGAAAAACGCGATGGTCGCCTCTTACACGCGTAGTGTAGTGGGTACGCTCTAGGCTAGTATTCAGGAGGTCAGAGGTTCAATCCCTGCTGGTGTTTTTACTTTTTTCTTCCCTTGTTTCCTTCGGATTGAACTTTTTGAACTCGGAATTTCTGAAGGGCTACCAGCGTGCCGCCGAGGCCTCCGAGGTACCAAAATCAGTTGAAAATGAAGAAAATTGTTTTATTATGTTAACAAATAAATTATGAAAAAAACTACAATTAATTTTTACAAAGAGACATAACAATTGAAAAAAAACCACATAATTAAAACAATCCTCGTGCAGGGCTGGTCGTCGGAAGGTGAAGGAAGCAGTAAAAATGGAGACGTCTCTGAAAACCCCAGTCATAAAACAGTTTTTATTCCTAGAGTAATAACGAGAAGTAATGAGATAAATAGGAACAGTGAAGAAACGGTTATCGAAGAGAAAATAGTTTTTTTCGCATGCCTATAAAAAACACCGGCGACTGGCAAAATAATCGGTCGATAGAACTTTAAATTTACATAAAAAATTCACTTTTATATGGGTTTTATAATAAATAAGAAAAAAAAGCTTTTTTAATGTTTGAATTCGTTAAAAATTGAAAAAAATAAAGTCGGGAAATAAAAAAATAAAAATGTTTGCGCGTGGGATTGCGTGCTTTAGGTGCGAACACCGCGACGGCAAAATACACATTCCCTGAAATTTTCCCCGAAATTTTTGCTGTCTGCCCTCCTTTAACGAGTTATGTTCTTTAAGGATTACTGTCGTTTGCTTTAATATACTGGAAAGCTCTTTTTCCGGGAAGAACTGCCCCAAAACTAAACCGCCGGTCCAGCGAATTCCCAATTTTCTTTGGCACCCAACTTTTTGAAATTGGCGCTATCTTTCGAATTTATCATTGGAAGGAGAACAAGGCGTTTCAGCATAACCCTTAAAAACAACTTCTTATTTTCTGTAAGGACATCCAAACACATCCGAAAGTTTGGGCGCCCCAGGCTCGCCTTTGGACCGTTTTTCCCGGATAGATCCCTGGAAAGTTTGCATTCTATCTGTAATTGGGTGTTTTTCTACCACTGGAAACAATTCTAGGCTTTTTGGCCCTTCTTTCCAACTCAGACCTTCTTCCTATTCCAAAAAGTCTGATAATGAAATCCAAAAATTGCAACCGAGTGCCTTCCGGTAACCTTAACTTTTTCATGCTTCCAGTTCATCCTGAAACGGGGTGTTTGAATGAGTCAGACTCGCTTATCACCCGCAAAAAAGGTTCTCCTTCCATCTCATTCTTTCTCTCATCGTTTCGTTTTTCCTTCATTTTTCTTCTTCTTCTCTATTTATTTTGTGAATCGATGATGAATAATTCGTTTGATATGAATGTGACACACACCAACTCTTCATGTAAGGTTTACTTGAAACTCTCTCTCTCATATACCATCCAAAAATAGAATACTTGACCAAAAGAAAGTTTCTTAAATTACCGAAAACTATTTAGACATCTTCTTATCTTCATTTTACACTATAATAAACATTCAGATCGAAACCAGGATATGGGAGTGGAGGACGGGGAAAAAGAAAGCTCATCACAATACTGTAAAGGATTCTTTGGTAAGATTTTTTCGAATTTTGGATTAGAAAAACGAGAAAAAACTGGCTAAACTCTGTAGTCGGTACTGATCAAATATTCAAAAATTAAAGTTAAAATGTCAACAATATACTCAACGATAAATATGTACATGATGCTATCACAGAAAAAAAGGCATCTGGGAAAATTGAGGATTGTGAAGAGGATTTTTTCTTCTATTAGAGGGGTCCCCTCAATTCAAGAGCTTTTTCTTTCTAATACAGGGTTTACGGTAAAATAGTTTTAGCTTCAGAGGTAGATTCAGATACCAAGATTCGGACTCCCACGAGCCGGGGGACGCTTCGGATCTAGCACAGATTACTGTTGATATTATGCCTTGATGTTTTTGTCATTCTTGTTAGATCTGAGTCTCCAAAATCTTCCTGTTCAAATCTTTCCTCAGCAAATTAGTTTGACTCCAACATCAGAACTGATCTTTATTAGAATTATACCATAAACTGATAAGCACATTTTGTGACAGTCTGTGTTTGCCGGTGTCTAGAATAGTTAGATGATATGAGTGCTGACATTCTCGATAAGTCGAGAAAAAGGCCGACCTTCGGACTCAGAGATATGATTTTAAATCCAAATTGTCCTAATTTCCGTCGGCCATCTCTTTTTCAGTACTCCGGTAGCTGAAAATAACTGGAGGTAATATAAGAAATCTCATTCGAAATTCCATTACCATAATGTAATTATGACTCTAGTCTCTCGTTCTACGTAAACATACACACATATCTATGTACTTGCAATCTACTTGCTTTTCAGTCTTATTTATCTCTCAAACTAATTATATAGTGTTGCTTTTTCGTCTTATGATTTTTTGAGATGACCATGTGCGCATCTTTCCACCCCCACTCTGCTTTGGTAACTTCTTCGAATTCTGAATGAACCGGAAGTGACGTTTGTGTACTTTGAATATGTAGTTGTGAAATTAAAGGAAGTGTGTGAGAAGAGTATCACTGTCTATCTAAACAATATAATCTGCCAGTGATAAAATGTCACTTTCCAATTAAATTGTTCTTCTCTTCCACTTCTGACCCCTCAGCATTTACATCAAAAACTATGCTTATGGCTTGTCATGAAACTCAAAAAAACAGTCTATTCAAAAGAAATAAAATCAGGAAACTTGTTTGTTAGAAAAAGGAGGTCTGGGAACAGAATATCATAACAAAAGGACGTTCTAGTAATTAGGCGGCCTAAAGTGCATTCAGTGGGGGAGAAGGGGAAACAAATGGGCGGAGTCTGAGAAAAAAAATAGAAGGAGAGAAAAAAAAACGAGGAAAACAAGACGACGACGACAGCGAAGTAGAGAGAGAAGAGGAAAAAAGGGAAGGACCGCCCATTTTGAGTGAGCTGCTTCGGTGAGCTAAGAGAGAGCCGCTGTCCACTACTTGCTCAGTGAGCACACCCAAAATCAGAAACTGGAAATTGACCTTATTATTTCTGTTGATTTATCTCTGGTGGTACAATGCTGCTGAGCAATCTTTCCGACACGTGGCTCGTGGGTAAGAATTTGGCTTTGTGACGGTGTTCTAAGAAGTTCCCGAGGAACGGAGCAGGTCTAAGATTTCGAGAACATTCAGTATTCCGATCACTGTTTCTAAGTTCTTGGTTTTAGAAGTTCTTCTTGTCCTGAGTTTTTCATTAATAGCCATCATCCCTTATCCCAGTTCCCTTGTAGCAAATCGACACACCGATATTTTACCTAGAATTCTTTTCTCCTGTCTTTGATCTAGATCCAGTCGGATCATCAGAAACATTTTTGGTCTCACTACCTGTAATAGAAGGGCCCCTCAACTTTGAACTTCGAGCCAACTTATTTAGGTTCCAGTCCAAGATATACAAAAGTTGTCAACTGATAAATTATTTATCATCATGTCGCAATCATTTTATGAATTTTTATATCTCTCAGAAGAACCAATATAAATTAGCTCAAACTTCACAATGTGGGCGTCCTTCTATTGGTAGTTCATTTTCCCCTCCTTTGACAAAAACAAGTTGATCCAGGCATCCGACAAACTTGGTACTTTTCGTCACGTTTTTTCTCTCTAACACAAATTCGCACTTGAGAGAGTGAGCATTGAAATTCAATTTACCCAATTATGTCATCACTTGAACCGGAAGATGAAAATACTGAGCTACTACTAGAAAAGAAAAAAACCGAGTCAAAAGATCAGAATGAAGAAGACTAGACGGATCATCACAAATCCTGTTCATTTTTAGTATATTCCTGGTAGGAGAGGGAAGGGGAAATTGATTGTTATTATTATCATCAATTTCGTATATTTGCTCATCATCGTCTTCCTCAGTCAGTGCATACACGAAATAACACATTTCCTAGTATTTTGTACCAGGTTCCCATTCAACTAATTAGTTTGAGGATTGTTTTTGATAACTGACACAGCGCCCCGGTGCCTGGTAGTTTGGGTGGGACGGGGAGCAGTGTAGCTAATAACATAGTTAGGACGGGGATTCGGAGAACAACAAAAATGGTTGTGATGATGTCGCCTGGGGACAACGAAGGCGAAAAACATACGTCTGGAGGTTATTCTAGAAGAAGCTGTATAGTCTTGTGACGTGGTATTCTCATGTGCATCTCTAGGTTGCAAAGATTTTTGTAGTTTCCACATGGTCGCATATATGATATTAAATCAAAGATCTTGACAAAGCAGATTACACAGGGGAGTCGACTTCTACGTGAGAAGATTTAAAATTTTCTCGAATTCAAATCCAAGTGCATCTGAAAATGACGTGCTTTTCGAAATGAAATTGCACTCGAAATTCCAGGAGAAACCTTTCTGAAAGAAAAAAAAACGAGGAAGTTCATTATGAACTTAACTAGGTCATGGCACACAAACATCACACTACAAAGCACATTTTTCTAAGAAACCTTGCTCCTGGGAATCATGATGTTTTATTAGATTTATCTAGGAGAAAACCACCTGATGTCTTAAAATACGTAGAACACAATTTTTGAAATCTGAAAATATAAAGTTCTTGTTTTCCATTTTCATCCAGTCAGTCGAAAAAATAGAACACAACAATCAGTTTTCTTTTGTCCTTCTTCTTGTTCGAAATAACAAATTTTCAGATGCACTACGAGTCGTTCAATCTACGAACAAATTCGAATTCAATGGAGTCACTTCTCCCGTTCTCCCTAATAATCTATCAACGGCCGCATTCAGTCCGATCACTCCAGCCACAGCAAGGTAAGGGGTTTGCTTCGAGAACATTCAAGATTCCTGACGAGCTTCTAAAAAGGTCGTTTGCACTATAATTCACTTGATTCTAGTTATATCCTTTTCATATAGAAGATTAGCTGATAAGTGGCCGAAGAGAAGAAAGATTCTTAAATTAGTTCATCCTCATGTTTTATTCCTTCTTTTTTTTCCTCCGTAATTTTGAGCATTAATACGAAGGAAGAATAATCCGATGGGACACATGTATGCCAAAAGTGGATAATCCTTGTCATACGCTCCAGATGACACTTTGCGTCGTCAACAGAAAAAGACTTTTCAGACAGAAAACGTTTTCTGGAATGCTTTTAGAAAAAGGGAAGACTGATTGGGAGGAAATTTGTCACTTTGAAACTGCGACACTTCGAAACTGCGACACTTCGAAAACAGTCATTTCGAAACCGTGGTAATACCAAGGAATGGATAAAGTTCAGACAAAAACAATTTTAGGGGTTTCAAATACGCTTTTTCTAATAGAAAATAATCTGAAATTCCAAAAAATCCAAAATTTAATTTCATTCGCCTGTTTTATCACGGTTTCGAAATGACTGGCTTCGAAGTGTCGCAGTTTCAAGGTGACGAGGAGCCGGAAATTCAAAGACATTTCTGGAAGTTGCTGGAACAAATTGAATGTCATTAAAGTTTGATTTTTTAAAAACATAGCCAAAAAGGTTATTTGAAAACCAACTCCCTTTTCAAAAATTTTTTCATTAGAACCAATATTTCAACATTGATTGTTCATGACTTGTCCATCTGTAGAGTCAAAATATGATCCCTAGTCTAGAAAAGTTTAATTCTGAAATATAATCAACTGCTTCTGCTTTGTCTCTCCAGCTGAAAAAATTTAAGTGTATTGAACTTAAAATTATAATTTTTGATCATTGAACCAAAAAACCAAGCTGAACTTCAACATTTCTTTCCAGCGATATGCATACGATCGTGATGTCAATTTTGGGAACACCAATCACTAGTGCATCGTCAACAATTCCACCACTTTCCTCACCAACATCACTTTTGCCATTGGTCACAAGTGGAGATCTTCAAATGGAGTAAGTGGTGGAAAACGGGATGGAAAAGAATATGAATTCAGATCTAATGAGGAAGTAGAGAGCAAAAAAGAGTGTAAAGAGAAAGAAGAGAGATCAGTGAGCAAAATAGCACAGCCCAAATGTTTTGACATGTTTTCAAGGAATTGTGGGAGGATGTGATGCATGGGTGAATGACGCAAATTTTTAAGGAAATGAAGGGAAAAAGGGGGTGGAAGGAGATGGATGGGAGGTAAATAAGAGAATGAAGATACATTATGAAAATCAGAATTTGCTTGGATGATCTTTTGTGATCACTTTTCAATTCCACCTGACCTCTTTGAGAAAAAGGTTTTCATACCTCAAACAAAAAATGCGGAAAACAGGAAATACGTACTCTCACGTGCGATTGCTCTCACCCCAAAACGGACGTCACTTTCGGAAAAAAATGAAATGAATAATAAAAAAGTAGGGCAAAGAGGGATTCAGTGATCAGAAGCAGTGACCACTGATGGATATGATAGAATTCAGAAATATAGATCAGAATAAAAACTGGGATCGGAAATAAAAAAGTTTTGAAAAAAGTTCAGAAAAAATATCGATGAGGAGAAATCTCACTTATAAACCAGTCGGTTTACTATATCACACACTTGAATTTCTAAATTCAGAATTTCTAAAATTTGAATAACTGGATCAATGAATTAGGAAATTCGGAATTCCGGAATATTCGATTTCCCGAATTGCTGAAATTCCAAACTTCTGGATGTCTGAATTCCAGGTTTTCGAATTTTCAAATTTCTCAGTTTTGAAATACCTGAATTTCTAAGTTTCCCAATTCTTGTTATCTCGAATTTCATAAATTTCTCAGTTTTTGAATTTTCGAACTTCAAGGTTTTCGGACGACAGAATTTTTGAAATTCTGAAATCTGGACCATTGGAAATCCTGAAAAAAACGGAGAATCCGTAATTATTTGAATTGGAAATGTAAGCATATTTCTAGAAAACTAAGCATCTTAAACTTCCGGTTTAACAATTCTTTGAAAGTCACTTGATTATCTTTCCCACATTGGATTTGGAGTCCGAAGAAGAAAAAAAAAACAAGAGACCGCCTATTTTCATTTCGGCAAACCATTTGAAAACCAAATAAACCTTTGCATATAGAGAGAAGAATATACCGAAACCTAACAATAAAACCAACTGGGTAAATATTCTCCGTATAATAGGTTTTTCCTGGTGCGGAAGAATCAAAAGAAAACAAAAATATACAATTCAGAGTCGATTCGGGAAAACTGGTCTCTTTCAAAGAGAAAAAAATCGCCGCTTTCCCAAACATTCAAACTACAATACCTGCATGTTTTTGAAAAACAAAAAATACAAATCCTTCTACAGTCTTCTTCCTCTTTTTGTTCACTATTCTATTTTCTATTATCTTTCAGTGATCTGTCTATGAAGCTTCTCGCTTCGTCTGCCATTCCGGGTCCACCAATCGTCTCATCTTCCAACTCGCCAGACTCTTCCAGTGCCGTCAACACCACAACTACTCAAATTACGGCTCTTCCTCCGCTTCTAAACAATTTCGTTTCGTCCACTACTGCTTCCACATCGCGTCCAGATAAGCTCAATTTGACTGTAAGTCTTCTTTCCTTGTTCAAATTTAAAAAAAAACCAATGCCTGCTGCTGGAATCGAACCAGCGTCGCCACGGCCACAACGTGGAGTACTAACCACTATACTAAGCAGGCCAAAAGCGAATGAAGCATGTGTCCTTTATGTTGTAAGCAGAATCTAGAGAAGAGACCGAACATAGTAATTTCAATACATTAACAAACATAGCAGTTTGTCTATTCGAAAAAGATCCTCGAAAAATGACTTTTTCGAGAAATTGTCGAAGAAATTTAGACAAAAATATCCTAGGAATGGGTTCCTCGAAATTTTTCGAAAAATGCGTAATGCGGAATTTCGGAATGTCGTTGCTTACATTCGTTTTTTTTGTCGTTTTTACGAGGTGGCCTAACTTTTGCATGTTGAGTTTTCTAGGACATTATGTAGAAATGGCCTAGAAATGATCTGATATCCATCTGTGTTTTCTTCGTCATTTTAACGTGTTGGCCTAGAAAACCCAACTTAAAAGTTAGGCCACCATGCCAAAATTTTCGAAGCCGTGTCGAAAGGATACACCGACCGCGAGTATAAAGTTAATATAGAAACAGCTAAAAGTTTGAGTCCTTCTTCGAACATTCTAATAAACCATTAGAACTTTTCTTAAAATGATATGTATTTATTGTATTCATAGTTGAGAAAAAAGTACTTATCGCTAATAAAGTTCATTTTGTACAGCTAAAACTCCGTAACAAATTCAGAAAATTCATCTTTTGAACTTTCCCTTCCTCGTTTTTTATTAAACTAATTTTTTTGCAGCCTCCACAATCGGAAATTTCAATGTCCATGGCCAATTACAGTGATGATTCAGATGGAGGATTCGATTCAAGAAGTGCATCAAGGGCAGGTGGATCCGGAGGGTGAGTCCCAATCATCTATTTTTATTCTTTCTATTCGTTCAACCTCATTTTCTCCTCGGGGTTTCGTGTCTCCAACTCTCTGTGGCTCCTTGAGCTCACACAATTAGGTACGGCGAGTCCGTTTTGCAGAAGAACAGAAACAAAAAAAAATGCGATGGGAAGAAAAAGAAAAATAGTAGTTCGTCTTGCTCTTCTCCTTCATTCCTCTTCTCCCTATTCCTGTTATATCTATATAAAAACGACTTCTCATTTCATTCGTTTTTCTTCGTTCTCTCAGTATTCAAAATTTTTTTCGATCGGATGCAAAATAGATGCCTACGAGGTCTCCTGGATTCCTTAATAATTCATACTTTCCCGCTCGTTTTCTAGTCCCAAGGGCATTCCAAATGTTCTCATTTTTTCTTTATTCTTCGTTTTTGAATATGGGATTGGTCCCATTTTATTTGTATAAGTAGATGTCGTTGATCCAAGATCTGCATCATTTCAATCAATGCTCTCATTTTTTTAATGTTCCATTTCTTTGCTCAAACAGAAAAAAGTTGTGGTTTCAAAAGCGAGACAGACAAAAATCATTTCACCTTGAAGTGATATGTCTGGCTTCAGGAAACTTTAGAAATCGATAAGAGGTCCCTAGATGAAGCTCATTCTGAAAACTACCTTTCTTCAGACAACTTTCCATTTCTTCAGACAACTTTTCGAAAATTGGAGAGTGTGCGGAGCTTAGTTCCAGTAGCGAAATTTTTAAAGGCGCATTTGAAGAAGCATGTATTTTCAGAATTATTCTCTGGCCTATTTTTCTTTTTTTTAATGAATTTCATCGATTTTGATTTTTTACACAGGTCCGACAAATAGCAAACATTGCACAGAAACAATTAAATTATTTTTGGGTTTTTGATTAATTTTTATCGGTTTAGAGCCTCTTTTTTATTCAAAAATACTTAAAATCCCTAAAAAAAAATGATATGCCAGTAAATAATTACGAAAATTGATCCTTTAAATGTGCCTTTAAGATCCGCCCACCCTAGAATTTTAAGCCGCAACGTTTCTGATTTGTATCTTTTACCGAATTTCTGTAAATGGTCTGATTGTGAGTCGCTGATCCTTGGCGAATTCCCAAAAATATCAAGCACTTTCAGTACAAAATTCGTGACCTTCATCATTCACCATTTTCAGTTTACCATTTTCATATAGACTAATCCTCTTACTGGTCAAATAAGTCACACTTTCGAAACTAAAAATCTGCATAATCTCATAAGACTGTAAAAACTAGTTCAGGCATGCAAAATGCAACATTTTCTCTCTTTATCCATTCCATCCACTCGTCGCCGTTTTTCCCTTTAAATTGTTCGGAAATCAATCAAAGTTTGAGATTTATCACCTCTCCCATCCGCCTCACGACCCCCATTTTTTCCCAATTTTTTGATTCTTTGCAAGTTTTGTCTACCCCTGTTTTCTATTGCAAACAAGACCACCTAGAAATCTAATGACTCTATACAAAGCGATGACGAATCATGGAAAAACTAGACTGAAACGAGATAACGCTTGTAAGAAAATCATTATGACTCATGACAGTATTCCAAAATGATCCGTTATGACCCTGAATTGTAAAAAAGAATGTAAAACGAAATGAGTCAGAGAGGGAGAAAGAGAATGAAATGAACAGACGGATACCATATTGTGACCACATGGATCGCCCGGACAGTTTGATATATTACCTTGTTGGTTTTCGTTGTGAGGAATCTAAAAGTCTGTGCGAATTTTTTATTTTATCCTAGCCACATGAAAAGAAAACATTTCGTTTCTTAGGGTTGAGCGAGATGAATTGGCTTCGTTTCAGGTCACAGACTCTTTTAATGATTGGGGAGGGCTACCGTAACACGGAGGCGTAACCCCAGAGTGTAGTCATACTTCTATTCAGAAACTTTAAAAACTTCTAGAATAATTTCTGAAAATTTCTCTTCTGTTTAACCAAAAGTTGATTAACCAAAGAAAGTTCCGGTTATTCACTTTCTGAAAGCTTCTAGAAGCTTCCTGCTGGAGTGAAATCTGTTTCCTAAATACGTTCTTTGCACCGAGAAATTCCAGTTTTTTGTGGGTTGGAAAATGCATTTATTTAAAGCGGCTTCTCGGGGTTTCGGAGATGTACCGTAGAACCTGTATTAGAAGGGCCGGTCCTTCTACTATAGGGTCCCTTTAATTAGAGGGAGCCCTTCTATTTTTCCAGTCATTTATGCGAAAAATTTTCATTCAAACAAATTGGTGAATAATTGTTCAAAATTTCAAAATTTTTGAAAACGTCTCAATTTCAGGAAACTTGAGCAAGTTTTTGAGCAAAAATGCGTTTTTCAACATAATTCTGTACAATTGTGGAATTTTCGGATAATTTTTTGCTGAAAACGTACGGAAATTTTTTTATTCAAAACTACACATTTTGAAGAGAACTTTTCTATTACATGGTGCCCTTCTATTAAAGGAGCCCTTCTAATACAGTTTTACGGTATCATAAACAAGTTTGAATTTTTCTTTAGCATTAGGCAGAGTTCTGTTTTATTTTCTCATTTCTTTTTTCAAATTTCCCAAGAAATTTGCGTTCTCATTCAAAAAAATCCTCTCGAACCAAGAATACAAAAAATCAGGAACATTCTGTTGTTCGTCAAATTTGTGCATTAAATCGAAAAGAGGAGTTGTTTATAACTCTTCTCAAACATGTGATTAACCAGACGGAATAAAACTGAATACAGTTCCTCAAATAAAATGGGAATATTTCTGTGTTTTGTGTTCAAGACCTGTACTATACTGTACGATACAATAGAATATGCGTATGTGTGCACGCACTTTCTTCTTCTTTTTTTTCCGTCCTCTTCCAATACCTCTCCATTTCTCTTTTTTCTTATTCTTTCATATCGATAAATTCTGTGTTGTTCAAACAGGGGGTGTCCCAGTTTTCCCTCCTTTTCAATCGTTTTGCTCTCCATCTTTCTCTCCAACTTGGCACAGGAATTTCGTATTTTGTATGTGTGTGCCCCGCTTTCATTTCACCCGAAACAACACAATTTTTTTCCAAAAATTTTTGTGCCTTTTTCTTGTTCGCTATACAATATCCATTATTTTTTTCGTTTAGTTTCTTTGTTTTTCTCCTTTTTTTATCAATTGTGACAAATTTCATGACAATCTTTCCGAAGAAAAGAGAAAGAAGCTGATGAGTCAGATGCTCTCTGAATTTTTGCCAAACAGTGTCCAGAATACTAATAAAGAATAGAAAAAAGGGAGAATTAAACCGAGAGAATGAATAGAAATGGTCCTAGTAAGAGCAGGTGTCCTGCACATGTTCTCGAAATAAAAAAAATCGAGAACCTGCGTCTCCGAAAACTGTCAATCTTTAATTTTCTAACAATTCGTTGGAGCTGGTATCTTATGCTTGTTTTTCATTCTTTTTTTGCAAGAAACATGGGGTTTTAGAAATTCCGGACTGTAATAGATTTCAAATTTAAATTGTCATTGAAGAATCTGAAAACATCTGAATCTCCAGAAAATACAGAAATTCTAAAAATACCAAATATTCGCCAGATTGAAAATCAAAATAACAAAATATCCAAAAAACTCGAAAATTCAAAAAAATCTTTTAAAAACCATGTAAAAGAAGTGCTCTCTGCCTTCCAACTTTGAGCCAATTTTTTTCGATTCCTGTCAAAGATATAAAATATTTGTCAGGTGATAAATTGTTTATCATAATGTTGGAAATGTTTTGTTAGTTAACGGTTTTTTGATATCTTGCACAGGAATTGAGGTAATTGAGCTCAAAATTGACAGTTGTGGGGCCCTACTACTACAGGTTTTAGGGTAGGCTAGCAAATCCTTTTTGCTGGTCACTAGTGAATCTAAATTCTCAATTGCGAACACAGTAATCTGACGATTCCTCAATTTAGTTCCTCATACAAAAAAAACACGATCAGCAATATCATCAGTCTTGGTTTTGTTTTCTCTTACTGTGACCTTGAAAAATAAGAAAATTGGAACACTTTCTTACTTCCTTAAACTTTTTCTGATAACTGTCCCTTCTCTTTCCTTTTATATCTTCTTTCCTTGTTCTTCACATATTTTCCCACGTTGTCTATCATTTTCGAACACATGTGATGTGATCTTCCGCTGATCTCCAGCGCTCCGGTCAAATCACATCACCCACAAATCATAAAAGTGAGGTGCAGCATACAGTGTATGGGGGTTGTCCTTCTCATTCATTTTTTTCACCTTCTCACACAAATGACTCACCCGATTTTTCTCTTTTCCCGTCTCGGGGACCCAAGTGCGAACGTACAAACATACGTACACTAGCCAGCGAGGAGACACATACAAACAGTCAGACCAAAACCAGGCAAAAAGATGCCGGTGACTCATTTACAGCTTCTCCCACCGTCTCTATACTTCTATCTATCTGCGTCTTGTCATCATTTACACTGTCTTCTCTCGTGGGGAAACTCCGCCCACTGACCGCCCTTTTCTTTCGCCCATTCCATATCGCCCTCCCCTTTTTATTCGTTTTCCTTTCCTGACGGTACACCGATCATCATCATCATCTACTCATCAGAACAAGAAGAAGACGTTAGGCGCGAACACTAGGCAACAATGCTCAATTGGGGTCATCACAATTCTTACGACGAACCATCCGTCTCCTCCTCTTCCGGATCCTCTTCTGTAGCGGCGAATCTGAGCTCAAGTTACAATTCTGATTCAAGGAATCAAGGATGTATGGGAGGTGGAAATAATAATATTCAATATGGAACGAGTATTGGTGGTGGGAATGGAGGAGGAGGTGGATACGGAGATTATTCACCTCATATGGACCCAATTAACATGTAAGTTTCTTGAAATCTGGGAAAAACTCTCCTAAGGAGCTATTTTGGTTGTAACTCAAAAATATGTGCCTATGGTCTATTGTCTTTCCCTACCTTGAGTTTCATAAATATTTTGTGCTTCTTTAAATTTGAGAAATTGCTGATTTTCCTTCTTCAAGCTTCAGAAGTGGTTTTCCGATCACCAAATTAGAAAGAACATCTCAAATTAAAGCTTCCAAGACTGTCATCGATGGAATTCATAATTTTTCAAACCTCTTCTTCCAAACCCAATACGTCATTTCGTTCACCCGCATCACTATCATTCATATTTTCCTTTTCTTCGCCCAGAAAACAATCCATATTTTCTTCTCTGCGTCTCTTCGTCTTCCACACTCTCTCGATCCCACTTCCTTTCTTTTACTATCAGCATCTTATCAGTCAGTCTCATCTACATACACCACCCAATTTTCTCCAAAAATTTCCATCTTCGTTTCGACAGAAAAAAAAAACGAACAACCGTTTTCTTCTGAAATGAGGGCTTCTAGAAAGAAAATTGGGGGATTCCCGCATAGGGAAGAAACCTGTTCGTTTCGCAATGATTTCGAAAGAAATGGAAACATTTACGGAAAAAGGAAAACTTTTTGGAGAGAATATGGATGAGAAGGAGACGATGAAAGGACTATGAACTTCTCCGGGAATTCGTTTTCTATCCGATTAGATTCGATCAGATATTAGCAGACAGGAGAAATGTTTGCAAAGCAAGATCCCCAAAATGAAGAAATCAGAAACTTGAAACTTTAGTCTAACACTATCGTCTTCTGACCTGCCTGAACCATGTAGACATGTATAATCCGTTGTAATCTTGTCAAGAATTTATTTTTCTTTCTTCTCCGACGCGTTTGGCTATTCCTGCACTATTGCCCACACGTTTTTCTTGCGCCACTAATACATTTTGTACAAGAATTAGTTTTCTGCACTTGCAATTCGGGAGAACAAAATTTGAGAGAATGGAAATGGGAAATGCACTATATATGGGTCAGGTCGTGGTTTTTTGGCAGTTTGGATAATTAAAAATTTGTAGCAAGTTTGATGAGGAAGATCTGATTATATGATTATAACTTCTAAAAAACACGCGGTTCTTTGACTGAAGGAGTACGGTAGTTACTGGATTTCGTTAACGATTTTCCATATTGGTACTGTCTAGGAATTTGGCCACTTTGAAGAAATAGTCAATAAAACTAGACAGGGGTTTGTAGAAATTATTCAAGAATTCTTTGCATTCCTCCCTCCGGAAATTTCTAGAATTCCTCTCTTCTGAATCGCCTAGCTACAAAGATACGTATCACATCTTGCGCAACCGAGAACGATCGCGTGTCTCCATAGACATTGAAAGGGAAATCCATGCCAAAAAAATGCGTACCTTAGCCTCGGATTCTCAAAGAATCGCAGTATTCAGAAGACACCCACAAAAATAGAATCTACGGTTCTTTTAGAGACCATAAGGAATTATTTTGCGAGATATTATTTGGTCCATAAAAATATTTGGGTTACAATCAGTCTTTAAAAATTTGAAAGAGCAACTCTAACCAAATTTTCCCAAATCTTCAATTTTCTGATTTCTCGAAAAATCCAAAACTTCCGATTTCCGAATTTCCGAACTTGAGAATTCCGAAGTTTCTGAATTTCCGAAAATTCGAAATATTTTCAATTTTTTTGAATGCTAACCTGATCACAACAAACCTTATCTAGAAATCATCTAATCAGATTTTTCGGGTTTTTCGAATATTTTCCTTTTGGGAGGCATACAGAAGGCCGAAAAAATCTACAATAGAAGAAAAAAAGCAAAAAATTGGGCACCCAGAATACCTCAAAGATTAATGAAGACTTAATATCCTTAGGCTACCAAAATATTACCTTGAGACTGGAATAGAGCCAAATCAGAACAAAAAACCTTCCTAGTTCTCTTGGAAAATTCAAATTGCCTTATTTGTTTAAACAAAGACTGTATGACACACCAGTAACTGTCCGAAAAATTTGAATCCTGTGTGCCACTCGGCGACACCTTCTCTGAATCACCAAACGAGACAGTACACTGATGAGAGAGACGCATAACTTCTTCCCTCTCTCGCTCCTCCCATTTCGCCCTCTGCGCCATGTTGGTACTGCTCATTCGAACAGTTTTCTCCACCATTCATTCAAAATGATGTCCTATCAACCATGGATGTCTTCTCTAATGAATTCTAGCACTCCATCCCCATTTTCGTCTCCATTTTCCATGGCAGACTCATATCCCAACAAGCTGCCAATGATGATGTTTTCTTCCTCAAATCCAAAATTCAATTTCTATAATTCTTCTGATTCTTCCCCATCGACCAACTCGACAGTTTCAACTCCAAAAACGTCTCCATTAGTTCCGGATCCAAAGATTCCATTCTTTGATTTTGATATGTATGTTTCTTTCTCTTGTCGTTTCTACAGCCACCCATCGAAGGCTATAAACGATTTATGGACAAGGTTAAAAAGAAGAAGAAGACGTAATAGCTGAATCTTCTTCTGCAAAAACCCCCGGGGTCACTTGTACTTTTGTTCTACTCTAATAAATTTAGACCAAGGTAAAACGTTATGTGCTAGTACTTACAGCCAAATGCTCAAAATGATCTCTGACTGAAAAAAAGAAAAAGAAGGGTAACCTTCGAGTAGACACTGACGTGGGTAGCTTTAGTCATGCCCAAAATTAGATCACGTGTCTCAATCCCTCCCGAAAAAAGCTATATGATACTTCCTCGAAGTATCAAACAGTTCTGTGTGTGCATACTTTTTGTACGTATCTCTTCTTTTGGAGCAACACAAAATTTTGGTTAATCCGTCTCATCCCTCTTCCTCTTTTTACATTAGCCGCCGACGACGAATAAATGTGACTCAGATGTGTACTTCTCGGAAATCTTAGGATTAGCCCTTATGAATCACCTAAAGGAGTTCCATAGCAACTAGGAGCAGTGGATAGGGGGCGGAGCTTGCGAGCAGCGGGGCTCAAGCGCCGCCCACATTTTTTTTTGGTTTGTTTTTGAGGGAGAGAGACGCGGCGAGCAGTAAGAAGAAAGCTTCTTCATCCTGCTATTACCACATTCATTCACTTGTTCTTCGGAATTCTGAATTCTAGTTTTTGCTTTAAAAAAAGAAGAATGGTCTGGTCGCCAGAGAGTATGGGCATGACACCCGAGGAGCATCTTGAATGGTAAAGAAAAGAAAATTTTAGGAATTTAATATTCTTGTGCCTTCCAAAATATTCTAAATTCTTCATAATTTCAGGATGTCTATGGATGACCAAGAGAAGAAGAAATTGGAGAGAAAGCGTGCTCGTAACAGGCAAGCCGCTAGCAAATGCCGTCAAAAGAAGATGGATCGAATTAAAGAATTAGAGGATCAGGTGAGAGAAGCTTTGTTGTTGTGGAACACTTTTTCTATTTTTGGATTGAATTAGAAAAGAAAAGACAAGAAAAGCCAGCAGCAGAAAAACAACATGTTATTTTGCAGGTTCTCCACGAGAAACACCGTGGCCAACGTCTGGATGCAGAGCTCGTCGAGCTAAACAGAGCTCTCGCCAACTTCCGTCAAATGGTGGAACGTCATTCGAACACCGGATGTCCAAATAACTCGATTCGTGCCTAAATGACCGTACTGCCCCTGAACACCAAACTCTCATCTTCTATCCCAATTATCATTTTTTTTCGATACTGGCAATTACTTGAAGCATCCCTAGTGCAATTAGTGTAGAAATCATCCTTCCTCATTTTCTTCGGAAACATTCCCTTCTCAGGGTAGACTATTTTTCTGTCTTCTGACTATTTTTTTCTCAAACTTAAAATCTGTCAAATATATGTAATTGAAAATATGTCAACGAAAAAAAAAACTGTCTATTGTGATCATCAAAACGTCTGTCTTTTTTTGCTGTCCCCATTATTTTTCTTCATCCTGTTTCAAATCTTTTTTGCACACATGTTTTACTCATTTCCTCAAGAATAAAGCAATAATTTCGATTTTTGTTTCCAGTTCTAACGAAAAATGAGTTTTTTGTTTCAAAAATTCTTCCAATCATCTAAACTTTCAACGGTAAGAGTTTGACTGATTTATCGTAAAATCAAGCATCAAAAACAGCAAAAAAAAAAAGAAAACGAAAATGAAGAGAACGTCGTGTGTTTTGGTCATCCCTCCTGTTTTCATTTTCTTTTTACAGCTTCTGTTTTTCTGAAGATTTTAAGATTTTTAGGAGCTGAGTGACGTGGCAACTGCCTCACTTCCGAGTCCATTGGAGCCTTCGACAGCGATCTGTACAACTCCAAATCAGGCGAGAAGAATTATTAAGACTGCTGATGGGTTAGTTTTTGTGAATTGAAACAGTTTTGACAGTTTAGAAACAGTTTAGATAATACAGTATTTCCTCTAATAATAAAGTATGTCCTTCCAAACCGTCAACTTTGAGCTGAATTATCTCAATTCCTGTAAAAGATATCAAAATTTTGTAAACTGATAAAATATTGGCGATAATATGATAAACAATTTGTCAGTTAACAAAAGTTTGACATCTTTTATGGAAATCGAGATAACTGAGCTCAAAGTTGACCGTTTCGGTGGGTTTCAATCAGAGGAATACGGTATGTAGTTTTTTTTTTGAAAATTTTAAATCAGTAATAAACTGACTGAAAAGCCGAACCAAAAGTTACAGTAAGGGCTGTTGAAGTTGGGAAAAAATCTTGATTAATCCATTTTCGTTTAAAAAAAGTTGATAAATAGAATCGGCTACAATTCAGAATTCTGTCTGAGAATTTGACAGAGTACAATAAATTTACTCTTTCTGATCAAATTGTTCACAGATATAAACAACTACAATTAGATTATCGGATTACTCACTTCATAAAAAATTTTCACCAAAACTTTTGGAGTGGGCAGAGATTTCAAACAATCACTGACATTTAGAATTACATAAAACCTGTATTAGAAGGGCACCCTACGGTCAAGTTTGAGCTAACTTTTCTTGGCTCTTATGCAAGATATCAAAAATATATCAACTGAAAAATCATTTGTGATATTATGATGAACAATTTATCAGTTGACAACTTTTTCATATCTTTGACAGTATCCGAAATAAACTGGCTCAAAGTTCAAAGATAAGGGGCCCTTCTATAATAATCACAGGTTTTACGGTATTTGTTTTTGTTGGTCTCATAGAAACGATAAGATTTTTACTGTCTCAGAAAACAGAAACACTCTTAACAAATTAAAAATGTTTCAGCCAGCAATTGGTTCTCTGTGCCGACGATGTTAAGTATCTGGAGGTGATTGATTCCATGTTCATCGATCTGAAGACGTTGAATGGAGAAGTCAATGAAGAGGTTCCAATTTTCCTGAATCTCATATAATAATTCTTTATTTCAGCCGTCTGTTCTAATTCCCATTTCAATCGAATCCTCCACCATGTACAAAATTATTGATTGGAGTCGTTCGGCAAAGAAAACTGAAGAATCAAAATTGAATTTCAGTCAGTTTTTCTCTGACATCACCATTAAACAATGCATTCAAATTCTGGAGGTGATTTCGAATCTCAACTCTCTTTTCAAATTAGTCTGTATTTCCAGGCCAGCTTATTTCTCGGTCTCACCCATCTGGAAAAATGTTCTGCCAAATGGATCGCAGCAAAGTTGGAAGGAAAAACCACAGGAGAAATGGCTCAAATTCTCGAAGTGCAACGTATTGGATTGTGCCAAGAAAGCCAGGATAAACTCAACCGTTTCAATCTCGCCACCCCATATCGCTTCGATTAAAACTCTTAATTTTTTGGGTGTGCACTTTAATAAGAATGAAATAGACTTGAAATCTTTACTTTGAATTTGGGTACCCGTGAGTTCCTGACCATTTGACACAAAAAGAAATCGTAATAAGCAGAAGAAAAATGCACAAAAGTGTTTTGGCAAACATTGAGGAGGGGGGGGGGGGGGGAGGAGTGAAAAGAAAGGAAAATAGCAAAATTGGGTAATTGAATTGGCACCGGATACAACGGATCATATGAAAAACAGAAAAGAAGAAGAAAAACAAAATCAATGTGGACCAATTTTGTGCCACATGCAAACGGGTAATCCATGTTGACGGACCATCTGAAGCCAGTGAGCATTCCCTGAGCCGTCGACGAGACGACCGATTACACAGTGACCGATTTTCTGAAGGCCTCCTTCATCGTCATGGTCGTATAGCTGAAAAAAAAAATATATTGAAATCGACAACTCTTGACTTACTTCTATCACAATATGAGATCTATCTAGTTTAGTTGGAGGAACGTGGAAGAGAAAAGATTCCGAAAATGAAGCGTCGGAAGGGTTGTCGTTTGAAGATGTGGATGCAGACGACGAAGAGGGTTTCGAGCCACTGAAAAATTGACATGTAATGGCAATCCGGATTCCAAATCAATATAAACTTACTCCACTGAAGACTTATGAACCAATGATGGATTGACAGTTGTCTGTTTCTGCTCCACCAGCCGTCGTCCCTCGAACAACATGATTCTTGCAAATGGAGCATTGTTGTATGGAAGAGCTTTGGCCTTCTTGACAGTTGCTGTTACAAATTGAACCGTTGGAGCATAAGTGAGAATTGTGAGAAGTTCACAAGCTTCTCCTCCACAGCTGACTGCTTTGTTGGCTGCTGCATAGAGAGCGTTCAGATTCATCGCTTCTGGAGATGTTCGACACAGTTTCTCCTGGAGAGTTTCCTCTTCAGTCTGAAATTTAGATATTTTTTGAGAGATTCACAGAATTACAATACTCACCGCCAACACTCTATCTTCAAAATCACACTCAAACGCTGTTCTTGCTCCCTGATCATCATTGGCAAGGAATTTCGTCCACGCATCTTTGTGGCAAGCAACCTTCTCATCCCTCAACTCTCCATGTCTATCACCCCATTCTCTGTGTTCGTGTCTTCCCGCTCGCCCGTATTTTGTACCATTTGGACGGGGATCTCGATGGACTCGATTGGCTCGAGCACCTGGAGCAGGTTGGTGTTTTCCTGCTTTCAGCATGTTCTTCGGAGCCCATCCCATTGATGGATCTGTTCCAGCTTGAGAGGCAGGCTGGAAATATATTACTGAATCTTCATGATAGCTAAGTAAAATCAAGAACTTACCACTTTGTGAAGGTGTACTGCTTTATGAGGAATGTTCATGAAAGATTGATATTCGAAGAAATGCTTCGCAATGAAATTCATGCCCTAAAAACAAAGAAATGAACATAACAACTACATAGGATCTATCTGAATCAATGGAATGTTTTCGAGTTTCTTTTTTTGCGAAAGGGACCAATCCGCCCATCTCATTTTAAAATTCATTGTGTTTCCTGTCGCCTTTTCTTTTCTTTTCTTTTGATGAAAAAGATGAGAGAAGGAAACTAAATGCTTTGTGGTAAAGAGCACTATGATCGCCTAAAGGCACAATTTAATTTTTAATTGGATTTAAAATTTATAAGAGCATCCTGCAAACAGACTTCCAGAAAGGCTATGTAATTTTGTACTTAACTCGATTCTGGCTTCATTTCCCTGCCGACAATCAGCATCTGAGCTTCTGCTTCTTGGATATGAACTTCTGGGATACTGTACTTTAGGAGACCTTTTCTCCCGCCACCAAAATGGTGTGGTTGGAACTGGCGGGGTTACTTTAGTTGGACCCAGAACTTCGTCGGGCATTTTCAGAATCTCCTTCTTTTCTAGAAACTTTTTGAAATGGAATTCACAAGAAACGAAAAACAATGAAGTTGTCTAGAGGAGAGGATAATGGATGAAAGGGCAAAAGTGGCGGAAAACGAGAAAACCAAAACAAAAAAGAGAAAAAAGAGCTCTATTTCCTTGAAAAAGGCCAACTCAACGACACTCAAACGACAAAAATTGCAGTAATTGAATTTTGAAATTGAATGGGAAAGACTAGTAAGGGCGGTCGCTAGGATATTTTGATGGATTTCTGGGCTTTACCCTCTGAATTATTTCAATAATAGATTGATTTCAGGGCAACCTAGAAAGTCCAAAATCAGATTTTCTCTCTCTCTCTCTCCCCTACAAATTGTACTTGTGATTGGAAGTCAGGCCCAATCATTCAAATGTCAAAAGTTAATTTTAGAAGATTTGGGATTTCATCTTCAGATCCTAAAATTTGTTATAAGTAAAACAGGCTAGAAACTAGAAGAACCTACTGGAAAAAAGGTCAAAAAGTGCTGCTTGTCGGTGTGGCCGTCAGAAGTATTCCGTCATTCGGCACGTCGTTTTTCTTCAGAAAGTGTCAGAAAACGGGGTTTAATTTAGAATCCAATCGTAGGCGAGGATGAAAAAACAGAGAAAAGAAGCTTGAGAAGACGTGTCCCTGAAGTTTCAGTGCGCGAGTCGCTCAACCGTCGGTTAACACGAAAATATGACACTTTCGGGAGCATGGAAAAGATGGAAAATAGGCTCCCGCGAGATCCTAATTGGTTTCAAAATTCTATCCCGACGAGGTTTTTTCTTTTCTCGTCTTTTGTGTATATATAGAGAAGATGCTCAGCAGATCTTCGAGCCTCTTCTTGACGACAATGGTACACTGATTGAATAGGTCGGGGCGAAGATAGAGGGGTGGAATTGAAGAAGAAATGCTTCTTTTTCCTATTTTCGAAGAGGACTGAAAAGAGAAAGATAGTGTCAATTGAGCCAATAATTTAGTTAATTTAGATTTTCTCTAACAAACAACTTTCTTAAGAAAAGAAAAAGGAAGCCACTTTCCTAGTTTTTAGATTCTCAAGAAGTAGAAAGATAGGAAAGTTGCCAAAAAACGAGAGGTTCTAATCTCTTTCCTTCTTTGGAAATTGATGGTTTTTACTTGACAGACGGAGCACATAGAATAATGAGTTTTGTTGAAAAGTAGAAGAAAATATTACACTTTGGTACTTTAAGTTTAAATGAGGTCAAGGTTTTGGAAGTTGGTAAATGTCTGAAGAAAAATTGATCAAGGACAAAACATAGTTTCAGTAAAAAAGTTTGAGGTCATGGACTAATTGAACTTGAGATTTTATTGTTACGTAGTTTTACAAAGTATATAGGTTTTAGAACAACTAGGTCAGCCAATGTTTAGGTCCTGGATCTTCAGATTACCTAGCTGGAATCTTGCTTCTTCTGACGGATTTTCAAAGTCTGATGGGTTTCCAAAAATTGGTAAATTTTAAAATGAAGAAATGCGAAATAAAGAATGCTGGAAAACTTCCGGAAATTCTCGAAAAATTCGACATATAAATCTACGGCGCTTTTATCCGAAAACTGATAGCTGCCTACAAAAAATTGGAGTGGGAGCAGTTTGTAGAATCTCAGGGGAGATTCCATCATGATGATCATTTGAAATGGAAACCGAAAGGAAAGGAAAAGAAATGTTGAGAAGACGCATCATCATCAGTACTCTCGAAAAGAAGCTAAAATAGGAGAAGAGGGGTTAGAAGGGGGGTCAAATCCAATTTACATCCTTCTCTTTTTTTGCCTTTTTTCTTCTTCTTCATTTCGACACCTTTGTTTGTTCTTTTTTCAACGGATTCAGAATATAAAGAAGACAAAAACAGAAAATCAATGTGTATCATAAGCATCCATGATTCCTTTTTTTTCTCACAGGAAGAGAAAGAACCCTTCTTCCCTTTTTTCGACTCGAAAACATTCCAATCAAGAAAGAAAACAAAGAGAAAATGTTGTTTGTTTTCTTTTTTTGTTGAAGATATTCTTCTTCTTCTTCTGACTTACTTCTTCCGTTATATTGACACTTGCGTCTCGACAATGCTCCAAATATTCGGCAATTTCTTGTTCAACGTTTAATAGCGTCAAATCGGTTTGCACAGACGTTGCAGTATTCGATGAGCTGAAACAATGAGGAATAGAGGAGAAGAGTGGAAGAAAGTACTAAAAAGAGGCACTATGGGGAGGAATTATGAAGACACAATGACTGCGTAGTTTTTGGAAGAGTTCCTCTAGGATTAGTTCAGAATTCAAAAAAAAATTATTGAAAAATTTCGATCTCCATTTCGGACATACAGTACCGGCCAATAAGATATACAAAAAAACGTATTATCCAGTTGTTTATCTATAATTTTCAAGATTTTCGAGCTCGCCTGCCAAGTATCCAATCGCTTTAAAAATTGTGAAGGGTGCAAAATAGATCTAGGTTGTAAACTTTGCATTCACAAAATTTTTTGAAAATTCCTAGTTGTTCAGCTACTTGCCGATTTCTGACAGACACCGTTTCTTACCGTTTTCAAGACAAAAACAGGAAAAAGGGGGTCCTTCAAAAATCAGCAAGTAGCTGGAAAACTAGGAATTTTGGAAAAATTTTGTAAATGCAAAGTTTCCAATCTAGGTCTGTTTTACGCCCTTCAAAGTTTTCAAAGTGATCGGACACTTTACAGGCATACTCCGGACTCTTGAAAATGGTCAAAACAAACTGAAAAATACATTTTTTTCGATTATTTATGGCCAGCACTGTATGGAATCCAAGCTCAATCCTAGCATGATTGTTCTGATCATTTGATTTCAAAATAGGTTTTCTACATTTACCAGTAGTTAAAATACATAGTAACAAGATACACCTATTATTTTATACTAAAACCAGAACTCTTCCTACCTTGGAGCTGGTTCGTCAAACTCGTCGTCGATGGTTCCGTTCAATGAGAAGTCTGCTGAGTCGGAGTCGTCAAAGTTGAGCTCTGAAACTTTTTAGTGAAATAAAAAAAGACGGCACCCGCTGGTTCACTAAAAAGGCTGTCATAAAACATAAATTTTAGTGGCGGACAGGATGAAATTCGATACAAAAGCACCAATTCTTTTTCGTTTAGGTTTGAAGGGTCTCCCTCCCCATCGATATGTTTGCTCGGTGCGAAAAAAGCGTCGAAAAATGTTCGAAGAGCAAACCAAGGACATATCAGACGAAATTGATCTAATAGGATTTAGAAGGGAATGTGAAGTGAAGAAGTATAGTTAAAGAGAAAGAAGCGGGAAGTCAGGTCAATCTCATTTATGAGTCTCGAGGGGAAAATTGTTCTTTTTTTCCAGAAGAAGATGGATCTAAAGAAGATAAAAGAACATTTGTTCTCTCTTATCATGACATCGTTTTAACTAAAAGAGCAGCAAAGCTAAATACTAGATGTACACTTTTACGAGGGAAAATTTTTCAAAAAGAAAAAAGACAACATAACGAGGAAAAAAACAAAGAAAAGTGTTTTTCTGTTACTAGGAAACGTCCTAAAACTTCATGGATTTTGTGCGGAGAAAGGGGTTCGAAACTAGTTTTTTTCTCTCTGAATAAAGTTACTTTGAAGTTGTAAAAATAGGATTTTCAGAAATTTTTAGTTGGAAAATTACTTTGAAAGTTTTCCCAGCTGTTACGAGCCCTCGGTTCCACATTACAATTTTTTGAAAATTGTACAAATTTCAACAGCTGATAAAACAGACAACATATTATATGGTACAAAAAATCGGAGCTGTGGAAGAGGAAAGCCGGTATCCGTGGCCGAAGGTTCCATAACGACAACTACCGTAACCTAAAATGAAAAGATTCTTAGGTTACTGTGGCTGTCATTGTGGGGACATCGGTCACCGGCGTTTCTCTTCAACAGTTCCGATTGTTTTCTACACAAATAATCATAATTTGCGAATTTTCATAGCTTTTGTAACCTAGTAATTTCCAATCCCCCGCATAGCAGCCTCATCGAAACCCAATTTCTTTTTGCTCGAGGCTACTTTTCTATAGACTTTCCAATGAATGAAATTAATACATTTGCAAAAAACGATGTTTGGAGCTTCAAAATTTCAACAAATGCACGTTGTTTCGATCTGCAAAAGAATACAAACCTGTCGTCGACAGAAAATGATCCAAAATGACAGAGGAGATATTGTCATCGAAGTCAGCAAGATCTTCTGTTTGGGCTGTCCTGTAATACATTTTGTTCTTGTTGCCAAACCGTTTCAATGAATCAAAACCTTCTAGAATTTGTAGAAATCCTGCTAACCGAATCACACACTTCATCGATATGACTCCTGAAAAACGATGAAATTAAAAGATTTGAAGGAATCAAATCAGGTAGAGAAATATAGATTTACATGGTGGAGATAGTGAGAGAGTGATAGAGAAAACAAGGAGATAGTTTTGAAAAGAAAACTAGGGAAAACACCGGGCAACATTCCATTCATCATCATATCATCATAGAAATTATTGGAAGAAATAAAATCAATTTTTTTCCAAAATTATCAGATTTTAATCTCTGAATCACATGCAGTATTCTAATTTTCAGTTCACAATTTCAGATAACACTTTCACAAACTTTTGTGGATTTTGCTGAATATCTGAAATTTCTTCTTTAACATGTAATGGTGACACTTTATTGATCATAAAAGCAAGTCAAAAAATTAGCGCAATTTTATTTTTTTGTGTTTTGTTGTAATTTTTATTTCAAGAGGAGACACCAGTTCAATAAACTTCTTTTTTTTGCAAATCGGGTCAGAATCAACGGATGGGAAAAAATGGTTTGATTTTTTTTTCGGATTAATATAATAATTACATAGTCGCACAAAATACTGGTAAGACAAATGAATGAATGTTGCCCGATATAAATGGGTGAAGTACATGAGAGAGAGAGAGAGAAAAAGTGACGAGATCAATTTTATGGAGAAACAGAAGATGGGGACACGAAGACACTGCTCTTACATGGCGACTTGTTGACGACGTTGCTCGATGAACTTGCGATTCAGACGACGTTCGACAAGACAATCAGCGGCTGAAAATGAACAAAACTATGAACAAGTTGCAGGACTTTTTGAAATACCGGAAATTGGAGAGCATGGTCTTTTAACTCTCTCGAAATTATCTTCTTCGGATTCAGTGTCGATGACAATTGGGCACTTCTTAACTCCTGAAGTCACCGATGAAGATGTTGGATGGTTGAGTCCCAATGAAGCGATATCTGGACATGAGCCTGGAATTCACAATATTTGGTTAGCTGACCAACTACTAAGGGCGTGCTTCTACTCACTAGTACGATGTCTTCTATGATCAGAACGTTTGCTGCTGAGGATCGGTGCATCAATCTCCTCTTCTTCTTCCTCCTCACATCCACACCCATTCTCCAGGTGTTCCTCGATTACCATTGCCTCCATTTTCTCCTCCAAATGTCCCTGACTTCCCCGTCCTGAATCATTGGTAGTGGATGGAGATTTACGAGAACGACCTGGAAAATGGGAAAAATCTATAAACCACATAAATAACTAAAATTGGAATCTAATAATAGTAAACTCAAATATCCGTGTTCCGTGTTCTCTGCCTTACCGTTGATCAAATCACAACTCTGCGAGTATTCTCCGTTGTTGTATACTTTGCCCGAGGCGCCTGAGTCCTTCTTTTTTCCGAATATCCTGCAAAAAATCCACTCGTCAATTTTATTTTTTTGTCTATTTCATTTCTGACTTTTCTTTTGTTTCGCACGCCATCTGGGACTGGAGCCGTCTAAGAGAATAGTGTGGCATCAAAAATCGTGTACGGGCCTCTTAAAACATTTATTTTTCGGTGGGGTTTCGTTGTTGGGCTCCTTTCCCCGTTTTTCAATTTATTCGCATTTTCCTGTCTCTGAATCCCCGGGGAGCTTTTCGTCATAGTTCGTGGGGCACCCCATACGTGAGACGAAGGACACATTGGTGTCTTGGGGAAAGGAAAAAAAGGAAGGAAGGAAAAGAAGAGAATACGGTATCCTTCTTAGATTTATGTCAACATCCTCTTCTTTCTATTTTCTATCAGTTCCCCTTATATGACCCAAAACAATCGTATCTAGTTTCAGATAATGAGGCGAGGGAGGGAGGTGTGGTATCCGATTTCTTTCTATCCTTACTTATTTTTGATTTGCGACGCCATTGTCGCCTTTTTCGATGGTGTCACCGGTGGAGACGTCTTCTGGGTTGGAGAGCACGTGTCTGGAAAAAGGGTTCTCATCTCAGGATTTTTTTTCCCCCGAAAATGTATGCGTCAATTCCAATTTCTTCATGAGAATGGGAAAAAAGAAAACGGAACGACTTTGGGACTCAAGACTATGAATAATTGAGTTTTCTTCTCTGGAACAAAAACATTATTCCATAACGAAACCCTCTGTTTCTACGCACAATTGAACACAAAAGTTCGAATAGAAGAAAAATAGTACTTCCTGAATCTAACTCTTTGGTCTCACCTCGATTGGTGCTCTCACTATCGGTCCTTTGACGATGCATGTCGAATCCGGAATCCGCCAATGCTCGATTCTGTTGTCTCAAAGTTTGCAGAAGACTCATTCGTCGACGACGTGGAGCGTAGCATGTGTATGCACTGGCATCATCGCTCATGTCCGCTGAAGAATCGTCAAAAGTAGGACATTTTAATTTGAAATTTAAGAAATTTAAGAAAATTTTCAAGTTCCTTGTTTGTTTCTGTGTTTTAGTGTTGTTTTTTTTGAGGGCTCGTGTCCTCCTCTGCTCGTGTCAAACTATTCTTCAGCAATTACTCTTTTCCTATTTCCCTCCTACACAACTTCCTTTTTCAGGGTCCTTCAAGAGAGGCCAATGAAGAAAAAAGAACAAAAAGCCTCCGACTCTTGAGCACTAGCACCCGAAAAAGAGCAATCAGTGCTCTATTTTTTGTGTGAACACACAGGGAGGACGGAAAAGACCAATAAGAATCTAGTGGGGCTCTCAATTCATCATTTTCTCATGACACTTCTGAAAGTTTCGTCCCTTGACAATGGTCATGTTTATGTCAACAGTCATCACTTACCACTTGTGCCTCTTCTGGCCAGTCGTTCACGGATCGGAACATGGGGAACCATTGGAGAGCAGAATGGTTCTGAAATAATTGACAGTCAATAAGAAATACAATTTTATAAGCGCTGTCCTAGGCATTGCATTCCAGCGATTTACGCTAGCTTTTTCAGATACTGTACCATTTTCAGCTGTTATAGATTTCCTTGGGATCAAGAAGCTTCCACGTGGTCCACCAGCCCCTTGGCCCACTCCAGTTGCCCCGACCGCACCGGTTGCAACTGGCGGTTGCAATGAGTTTCGTTTTTGTTTATGTCTTCCAGAATCATCGACAAGCAGCCGAAACATAATGTAGTCGTTCATCATGGTCGTGTTGCCCGACAACATCACTTTTCAGTGTCAGTCAGTCTGGAGAGTGTTCACAAATGATGTTCGTGTTTGAGAGATAAAAAGAGACAGAGATTTTGAAGAAGAAGAACAAATGAGAGATACGAAATCTAAAGAGATGATGAGTGCGTGTAGTACTGCAATATTGGCAACAAACAGTGCTGTTGGATCGGGGAGCTCTTTACAGTTGACAGACAAAAAATGGAGAACTCAAAGAATGACGAGTGCAAAAGAGGAGATAAGAGAAGAAGAAAAACGGATGAAGGGAAACTATTGGAAGGTGCCTTCCGAAGAAAGTGGGCGGAGCCTAGTGGGGGGTAGGGGCGGTGCATTCCATCTCGCCCTATTTTCGTATGTCTAGCCCGTTTTTCGTGGTATTCATTGGTTATGGCAATGGCAAAATGGGGTCAGAAATTTGATTTTCGAGCTCAAACGATTAAAACCAATGACATGTGGTTCCTTTCAAAAGTTCAAAATTGCAATAAAGATCCAGAAATCAAAATTTACTACTTCTTCTTCTTCTTCTGAATAAAGAACTTCTTTCTTTTAAAAGTTTTTGAAATAGAAACCCCGGTGGGTGTGGGCTAAGTGGTTTTAAGAAGAGGAGGAGTAGGAAGTTTTTGAACTTCTGGACCTATTTCTACCGAATTTATGCGTACTCAAACTTTAAACTTATGGAAAATACTGACGTCTTTTGTTCCACAACTCACGTCATTCCGGTACTTCGGTACTTCAAAAAACGGAATATTTCAGAACCTTCTTTTGCAAAAAAAAGTCTTTATGGTTTACTTCTCAAAATGATGTATGTTTTAGTTCTAGGAGAGACTATGCAATTTGCAAAAAAAACCAGGAAGAAGAGGAAGTGTGTATTTCCCAAAACTCAGTTTGTCCCCCTCTGGCCGAATACCACCCATCCATCTGTCTGATTGGTGTTTTTTTTTTCGGAATGCTTTTGCTGCTGGTCAATCATCCGACTCGTCCAACCGAAACCCGTTCTATGCACCACATGATAGTATATAGGTTATTCTGCTCGGGAAACACAACAAGGATTATATATAGTCTGGGCTTTCTGCCCCAAAAAATTCTTTGAACTTGAAGAAGTAAAAAATGGGGACCAGAAGAAGCTGTCGCCTTCCGACCGCGTGCTGGCTTCTTCTGAATTTCCAATGATGGAAGAAAGAAGAAAAAAGAAGAATCTCGGCGGGACCAGAAGCCTTTTCCAAGATTTCTTTTGTCTTTTAAACTATTCTGTTTTAGACGAAGTGGTGGTGGTGGCTGAATTCAAAGGACGACGTGCAAAAGAAGACAACAGGATAATGATGGTTCCAATGAAGAAGGAGATGATGGAATTATAAGGAGCAAACAATTCCACAACAAAGAAAAAGGAGAAGAAAAGTTTTGCTTTTAGGAATCTATTTTTAGTTTCTTCCGTCTTTAATAAGCGGCCTTTCTCAAGGGATTCTCGAACATGACCCAACAGAAGAGGAAACTGGAAATCTGTTGTTGAAAACTGACATCTCGACGATTTGTGGTCCGATGGGTATGAGGAGGGCGACAAAGAAACTTGAGACTCAAAAATAAAAAGACGAGTTACAATTTTTTTGACAAGGTCAGGTCGATGATCAGAAGTGATTCATCCATGAGAGCATTCTATAGAAAAGTATCGAATAACGATACTCCATGAAAACGCTCAATTTAGTCTGGGAGGAGATGTAGAAACTTGAGCTCTGATCGTCCACCTATGCTCATTCTTTTTTTTTCATTTGTATTTATCAAAAAAATAATGATGTCGTGTGTGCTTCCCTGGGAGCAAAAAAACGAAGAGAAAACTGGAGAACCCTACTTGAAAAATAATTAGAGCCTTGACAGAAAAGCTCTCTATTCCTACAACAGAAGAATCTTAGAAATGATTGATTCTTGGTTTCGTACGTATTCTATTGAATTTAGGACGCTAGCTAAGCGACCAAGAACTTTCGAAAAAAAAAGTTTTACAACAAAAAAATTTGTTCAAGAAAGTCAAAAACGTTTCGTTTGAGACCAATGTTTCCAATTCAATTGAATGCAATAATGGGCCGAATTGGTCAATGTGACGAGAAAGCGACCGAGATGCTCTTGGAGCACAAAAAGTCTCCCAAACATTTTGGAAGAGAGCAAAAAAAGAGGCGGGAAAAAGAAGAAGAAGATGATGAAGAAGAAGCTCACCATTTTCTAGAAAGTGGGCGGAGCCTAAAGAACAGAGAAAAAAAGTTCATATGAAAACGAATATTTGTTTTTTTCTCTTCTTATGTTCCCGATGACAAATCGACGTTTTCAAAATGCATGTTCCGGGTAAATGGGGGTCCTTCTTGGTCCTACTTCGTTCGATTTTGAATTGAACGAAAACCCGAAAATCCATTGTTTTTTTCTCATTTCAGTTTTCCATTCGTTTCTTTCATTTCTTTTGAAAAAAAGAAGAAAAGACGAAAACATTGGAAAATCCATGTTTCTTCGAAGAGGAAAAACAAGAAATCAGAAGATTTTGATGATGGGAACCGAGAGTCGAATTTCAGACGTTCTGCACTTTTTGTTTTCAGTTTTTGTTGTCATGGGATTTAGGAATGGATACAACCGGATGTGAGAACTTAAGAATGGCTAGATTTCTAGATAACAACAAAAAATCACCTGGTGATAGATGGAATTCAAGGAAAATTCTGATTGAGAATAAGACTGGCGACAGGGATGTTTGGAATGACCTTTTCGGAATTATTCAGTATATCGAAAATCCCGATTTTGAACAGTTTTTTCGCGACATACCATAGTTCAAACATCTCTAACTCTGAAAATGGTCAGAATATTCAGAATTTTCAGAATTCCGAATTCCGTTCCGAACATCCCTGGATATAATTCAAGGGAAAGTCTGAGAGTAAAACAGGAGACAAATTCTGGGAATCCCATCGATTCATATAATTCAAAAAGAGCGTTGATCTTCACATTCTTCATGGAAGATGTGTTCAGATCACATGAGAACTTCAGACAAAATGTTTCCCTCTCGCTCTCGCCCATTTTTTACACCATAAGACTCTTTCCATTCATATAATCTTCTCAAAAGCTCCCCCTCTCATCTGCTCAAGAAGACCATCGACCGTCTTCAGAAGACTACGTGAGTGTTGTCGTCGTACTTCACCCGAACTTTCCAGCAAAACGACAAAATTAAATATTTTGAGAAATGGGATGTGTGCAGATGAAGAAGGATAAGAAGAAGTAGAAGAAGACATGAGTAGTTTTGAGAAGAAGAAGAAGAAGATTCCGAAGAAAAGGGGCAATCGAATCGAAAAACCAATCAAAACGCAAAACTCCACTTCTTCAGCGTTTCCTTCCTACTCCTCCTCCTCCTATTTTTCAATATTTTGATGATTCAGATTTGAAGAAAAGAAAAGAGAGAAAAGAGATTCTAGATTCTTCCTACGCCCTCAGAAAGAAAAAAAGAAAATTGGGCCAACTAAACAACTTGTTTCTTGCTTCAAGACCTCATTTCATTCATTTGCATTTAGTAAAAACGTTAGTGTTGTTTACCCCAAAACGAAGCTATACAGAAGACCTCGGGACCTTTTTTTCTTGCATAATGAAACGGAAAGGACGAGCCAAGAGCAGAAGGAAAAAAGAAAAGAGAAATATTGGCTCTGAAAAGGCGATAGAAAAGTTCGACGGGAAAAATTTATGGTTCTTTTGAGAGAATGATCCATTCTTTAGTTTTTTTATGGGAACGCGCTGGGGATTTGGGTGGAATGGGAAAAGATGGACGGGAGGACCGAAAAGAAACAAATTGGTTTCTTTAGAGAAATTCTGCATGTGTGGAATGTGTTACGGGGTCAGCGGATTACTGTAACCACGTCATCAGGAAGGATCTTTTTGAACTGATTCCTCTGATTGATTCAATCTAGGGACCCGGTACTTTAAGACTTAGAAACTAAAGACGAGGAAGTAGAAAGCTTGAATTTTGCAAAATGACAATCTTTACGAAAAATGTGCTCTTTTGTTTTCGGACTCTTTCGTTTTTTTTTTGAAATTGCACCCATTTAGATCTTCTGAATGTCTTCTGACGTCGTCGACAACTCGTCACCGACGTCTTCAATTTTGATTGACACGGATGTCAAACATAAGGTTCCTGATCCAGAAAGGTAAGGTACGGGATCTAAAGAGTGTCACGTTCCTAGAAGCTCTCCACAGAAGCGAATCAAAAACCATTAGACTGGTGTGGGATATCTGTTTCCCACGAACAAGTGCTCGAGTAGCTGACAACTTGAGCAAGATCAACAGAATCATGAGCACGATCCCGGGGTGAGAATCAGAGGGGATAGGTGGGGGGAGGTGGTGGAAACAAATATTTGAGCGAAAAAACTATTGGAAGGGATGTGATATGCCTACGAAAAAAGAAGAAATACGGTTATTTTTAGGGGGGACCCGACTGACAGGTTCAAAGTATTGTTTCTTTTGATCGACCTGATCTGTGTTGCTGCTTGATTTTAGAAAGTTGTCTTTGCTCTTTCGATCTTAATCCGACAAAAAAGCTGTCATATGATATCTAGTTTCATAGAGAAAGATCTCGAAGCATATGACTGAAAGTTTCAAGGTCAATGTGGAAATGGAGTCAATTATTTTTATTATGATAATGAAGAAAAATATGATGCATGCCGCTTATAAGTTTCAGAGATCAGCTTTAATTGGCTCACAACACATCATAATTCAACGGAGAGAACAAAAGTCATATCTGCAGCTTTTACAGTTTGTCTACGGGAAATTTCGGCGGACTGTTGTGTATGAGCCTTGCTCTTTGAACGTTTTCGGAACTTTTTCATCTTCACTTTTTGTAGTCTTTTCTCTTAAGAAATCTCTCTTGTCCGACTGAATTACGACATAAATGACGTGATTTGTAACTACAAAAACACTCCGGAGCTCAGTCTATCTACGCAAAACCGAAACCACCAAAAATCGGAACACAGAGATATGTTATCTCTTCTCTCTCTCTCTCTCTCTCTCTCTCATTATTTTGAAAAAATTGTTAAACCATCAGCTGATCTATTGGAGAATGTGCTCAAAAACTCAAGTACTCGATATGGGTTCCTCATTTTTTGTTATTGGTATCTGGGTATTCCCACAGAGAAAACCCTGGAAAAACATTATGAAAAGCAATCTTATTTGGTGCTCGGGCTCTAATTGTGTTATTCTTTCCATAGAAAATTAAATTCCAGGAAATTCTGGAATAATATTTTTGAAAATTTTGAGAAAAAGACAGAAAGTTTAATAAATTTTCAGCTTCACAATTAAAAACTAAACACTTCATGGTACAAACGGAAGGCTTATAATGAGGCTAAAGAGCAAAACAGAAAGTGTGCAAGAAAAGAAAAGCAATGCTTTCCTGCATAATTGTTGTGAGTTGCTTCCAGAAAAAGTAGCATTTTTCTCATCTCTCATTGGCAGAAAAAAGGTCAGCGTTTTTCCATTTTTGGGACGGAAATTTGAGATTTGTCCATCATCGGATTACCCTATTCAAATACGTCGAAAATTGGGAAAAAGGCGGTTCCCATTTGAAATCTAATTTTCGAGACTCGTCTTTGGTGGCTTGGTTCATTCTTCAAGAAGATTCTGGACTCGTTATCTTTTTTCTGGAAAAATAAACTACCGTAATCCTCTCTCGAGGGATGGCTCATTTGACTAAAACTCTCTCTATGTAAAAAAATGTCAGAATTCTCTAAATGCTCGTGAATTGGCTCAATTTGTCATTCGACTAATGAGGAGCATCAACATCTAAATTGTTATGATGGGGTGACTGAAAAAATGCTTCTTCGTTAGCAAAAAAAAACGGCTGAAAAAAGAAAATGAAATGAGTCAAGAAAAGTGGAAAAATGAGGGTGTAAAAGAAGTACAGTGTGTCTTGATATTCGTACTTTCGTCTTCTGATTTGCATAAAATATGGAGATCAAATATGTCGAGGAGAATATTACAGAGACTGAGTCAGACGAGAATTCTGAAAAGTTATGAAAATTCTGGAGGATTGCAGACAGAGAAATGAGATCATTTCAATAAATTGAGTTTCCGGGAAATTAATAGTGTTTTAGAGAAAAATAATTGGATTTGATACCATGAATCCACAAGACCATATTCTCCGTAAAACCTGTTATAGAAGGGCCCTCCAAGAGGGGCATGTAAAAATAGAAGCCCCCCCCTGTAATAAAAGAGAGGGCCCATCTTCAAAACGTGTTGTTTGAAATTAAAAATTTCCGTACGTTTTCAGTGAAAAATATTCCGGAAATTCTGAAATTTCACAGAAACATGTTGATAAACTCATTTTTGATCGTTCCAAAAAGTTCTCTATTTTTGGGGAAATTGATAAATTTTATGAATTTTGAACGAGAAACCAGCGAATTTTTCGATCAAAACATTTGAAAACAATGACCAGAAAAATAGAAGAGCCCCCTCTAATTGAAGGTCCCCTGTGGTAGAAGCGCCCTCGGAATGAACCTTGGAACAATAAGAGAACCGGCCCTTCTAATACAGGTTTACGGTACTTTGTAAAAAACGACCACCTACTCCTATACAATCAGAATTCCAATTTATTAAAAGTCGCAATTCAAAAAAGTATTTAGACATGAAAAGAGAGTCAAGAGTGAAAAATCAAATGTGAATAGTTCATTAGATGATATCTAGTCAGAAGAACGACTCCTTTCTCGTATTCCAGTCGTATTTATTTTTGGAGCAGTCATACATGACTCTGCCTCTGACGAGAAAAGGAAAAGAGGCAATCGACTAATAACCGGATAAACGAGTCTTGACATACGGAAGGATCATCAAAAACTTTTTTCTTCGGCTATTTCACGTTTTGTTTGCTTGTTTTTTTGCAGTGCGAAATGTTTGAAATAGGCCACAAGAAAACGATAATATGAAACCCATATCTGTTTCGAAAGTGTTTATTTAAGAGCCTATTTTAAGGGTCGGAGTTTATATGAGCTGCACTTGGTTAATCCGATCTCCTTGGAGACTTGGATTTTTGAGAGAGATAATCATGATTATAAGTTGGACCTTGTACGCAAGTGTCGCTTAGATTGGAGCAGTGATTGGAAATCATTTGGAAACAAAGTAAAAATAATCAAGGAATTGGAATATTGAGCTAGTTTCAATTTGCACGTTTTGCTAGATTCTTGACACTTGATCTTACATTTGTTCTAGAGCAAACAAGGATACTGATATGAAGAAAAAGGAAAGTAAAAAAAGTTTTAGAGAATTTTAAAAAATTTTATGCTCTGCCGAACAGAAAAATCAGGTGATAGTGTGACGCTTCCAGGTTGCTAGGAGCTAGTCATCGTTAAAATTTTGAAATCAAGATATTCTTCTTTATTCTCCAAGCTGACTAATCAACACTCATGAGTTATGAAATGGAAAAAATTGCTCTAACATTTTTTCAGAAACGCGAGGATATCCGAAAAAGGTAAACTGGAAGGGAGATATGTTATCAGAATTCGAACTCATCTGGATCAGAATTGAAGAGTAGTTTCGGATTATTTCTTTTGGAAACCAAAACGTTAGCTACCAGCTTTCAAAGAAGCTTATCAAGCCAATCAACTACGAGTGTTTTTGTTTGAAGTTTGATTTAAATGATCTGTGAAGAGGGGATCGCCCATTTTTCCTTATTTTTTTAATTTTGGTTCCGGTAACAGTTATCGAAAACGTTTTGACTGATAAAATATTTTTCAAGTATGATAAACACCTTGTCAGTTGAACACTTTTTGATATCTTTCAAAGGAACTGAGATAAATTGGCTCAAAAATACACATAATGGGAGTTCTCTATTGCAGGTTTTACGAAAGTTATTATCGTTTCTAGATTTTAGAGCATTTGGGAGCTCTCTTATAGAATTTTAAGTTTGAAAACTAAAAACGATTTTAACTGAAATCTTTCCAGTTAAGCAGGTAGTTTGAAGATGGTTGGAACTCACAAAACAATTTTGAACGTTTCTGACTTAAAAGTATGTTACCGTAAAACCTGTATTAGAAGGGCTCCACAATATCAATTTTGAGCTCAAATATGTGAGCTCATATAAGAGATATTAAACCTAGATAAATTGGCTGAAAGTTAACAGTTAGGGGCCCTTCTACAGGTTTTACGGTAACATCTATAAAAAGTGTGTAGATGCTGATAGTGAGAAAAACATTATTTTCAAACAAGCACATATTCGCAGTTGCTACATGAATCCGATTATGTTTTATTTTGGCAGTTCGGCATTTTAACTTTCTAAATGTTAACTTGATACATATTCTGCTCAAAAGTTGTATGGTTTTAACCCAGTTTTTTTCGAATAACTTTGATGCGATAGCGCGCTTTCAGAAATTTTCTGAAAAATAAGATTATATTTATTTTAAAACTAACCGAATCGTTTCTTCCTACTAGTTTCTCCTTTCCACATAACAGTCGGTTGTGGATGCCTCGTTCTTGACCCAGTTGATCCTGTCCCATTAATTTGTCCCATTGAAGATGTACCGGCAGTCATACCATTGTGATGATGTAGATGATTTGGAAGATGATGGTTTGAAGAAGATGAGTTGGTTGTTGTCGTCGTTGTTGACGATGAGGTAGCCGTCACCGCGAACCGATCCACGTGGTAGAATGGTTTTCCGGCAAGACCGAAATGTGCATGATGGGCATGATGATGTGGATGGTGGGGATGGTGACGGCCGTCGCCGATATGGGTTCCCAGGAGCAGTGGGTCTGGTTTTTCTGTATCGCCCCACATTTGTTTAGCCGCGGAGCATTGTGTCGAGCACCACGGATTTGTTGGAAATGTGGCTGCTGGAAGAATAGAAGATGGAAATAGAAAGATACGGAGAGATACGACGATGATCAGATTGGGAAAAATAAGAGTTAGAATTCAAGATACAGTATCCAAGATTACCAGAAAAGGAATGAGATATAAATTTTGGATCTTTGCTATCCGGAGAAGTAGAACGTTTCCGTGCTGACCTATCTGTCAGATTTTCATCGAAACTCAGGAACGACATCATCTATATTGAAAATGTACATTTCCCGAGGGATGGTACGTCTAGAAGATAGGAACCCACCACAACCGAATAGAAAAAGAGAGGCGAATAAAAAAAGTACACGAAAAAGATATCCATGTGACCCTTATATATGTACAAGTAGATTATGGAAAAAAGAGAAGGCTCACCGACAAAAAAACATGTCACATATAGTTATGTAGAGAAGAATTTTGATGAGAAAGGAAGACGAAGAAAATGGAATTGGGGAGGTAGTAAAAATGGAGAAGAAAATTAAGAAAAAGACATAGGACAATGTCCGAAAACTAATTGAAATTTGGAGATCAAGGGTTCTTGAAAGAAGCTGAGAAGAGGAAGACATGGATGTAAGAAACAAAATAATGATGATGAGAAATTTTTGATGATCTTCTAACTCCTCCATCCTATTCTTCCAACTGGAGGGCAAGGGGCAAAGAGTTTTTTTTCGTTTGGATGAAATATTGGGTCAATCAGTGAAAAATAGTCATGTGAATAGGGGGAAAAGAGATGAGAGCGCCTATTACTCAATGTCCCAACGAAGCTATTTTCCGATTCTGGATGGATTGAAGATGTAGAAAAACGAGGAGAAGCTTGAAGGAAAGGGACAGGGTAAAAGGAAACTTGAAGACGTCATTCAAGGAAAAAGGCAACGAATTTAGTATATTTTACAGATGAATTGAAATTCAAACGGATGTGTACGGGAAAAAAATATTTGAAGTTATGCCGGAAGTTGGGTACGGTAGGAAATGAAGTTGTTCAAGGAGAAAATTTGGGAAGACGGATTGCACAAAATAGAAAATATCTAGAATTTTGATGCTGAAGATACAGTTCGATTAGAAAATGTATATGTTTCTTGAACCCTGAGAGTTTATGGAAAGTGTTGAACGTCGATGTCCAGAGTTTTAAGTTGATAAAGCGTTGGGACATTATTTCAGAAAAATTTGAGGTTTTAGAAAAAAAATTGCACAGGTCTTCAGGACTGATTTTTCGTTAAGATTCTAATCGAATGCTATAAATATTTAAGTGCTAAAATAAAAGTAATGGCCAGTAAGATATACAAAAACATATTTTTCAGTTGATTTTGACTATTTTCAGGAGTCTGGAGCTTGGCTGACAAGTGTCGGATCACTTTGAAAATATTGGAGGGTGTAAAACAGACCTAGATTGAAAATTATTGTACAAAAAAAGTGAAAAAATATATGTCTTTTAGAAATCGCCAAATATCTGAAAAACTAGGAATTTTCAAAGAATTCTGTAAATGCAAAGTTTTCAATCTAGTTTTGTTTTACAGCTTCCAAAGTTTTCGGAGTGATCGGAAACTTGACAGCCGAGCTCCAGACTTTTGTATATCTTATTATACTGGTACTGTACATGGTCATTAACGAATTTATAGAACGGGTAAAATTAGACTCGATTTCAGTGTCGAAAAAATTTTTAAAAAAAATGCACAGTAAAGCGATAATAGGGTTCCGAATATTTACAGTAGACCGATATCACGATCATAGATGAAATTTGAAGACCGCTTTCAACCAAATCAGAAGTTGCTCAACCATCAGACCGTACAAAAAATTCGTACAGTTCGAGGACAAAAAAAGTCAAGAGCATCAAGAAGAAAAGTGAGATGTAGTCACTCGATTCGCATCCCTTATAGATGCAAATAGACGGAGATCTATGGAAAAAAAACACAAGATTCTTGGTTAGAAGAAAAGAAGAAGAACAAGACGATCATGGAACAAAAACCGAAAATTTCCGACCTGGGGCTAGTGCTCGGAGGGTCTTTCTCCCTCTCCATTACCATCACTTCCTTTCTTTGCCGGAAGAAGAAAGTTTGGACACCAGAAATAGTTATATTCTCTCTATCTTCTTTTTTCTAGAATAGAGAAAAGTTTGTCGTCCTGAGCCGAAAACCGCTTCTGGGATGTTTTAAAATCAGGAGAAGAAGAAGAAGGAGAGAAAAAAGATACCCGTGCGAGACAAAACAACTTCCGGAAGAGGGGAGTGCACCTGTGCGAGAAATAATTGGTGTCCATAGACTCCTCAAATTTCTACTTCTTTCTCGTCTTCTTCTTATTCTTATTCTTCTTCTCCTTGTCCAGGCTCCTCTATTTTTTTTTGGACCCTTCATGTTTTGTGACGTCCTATTCTTTCGAATTTTTCATTTGGTGTGTTGTTCGTGGACCTCTACACCCACAATTTTTGACAAATGAAACAAGAAAAAAATAGAGAAAAGACAAAAGAGGTCCCGACCGACCTCTAACCGATCAACAATTTTCGACGTAAGACTCTTTAGTAGGTATGAAAAATGGGCGGAGTCAGGCAGTAGGAAAAGAAGAGGCAAGTTTTCCCTCTTATTTCTCTTCTTTTTTAAGAGAAAAGATTTTGCGTGTCGATGAAAGATTCAATAACACCCTCGATTCATATATTCACACCTACGAAGGATAGATTTCACAAAGTTTTCAAAGAAAAAAATAGTTTTATAGGAATCGGATGGATTCTCAACATCTGGTCGGCAGGAATCTCAGAAAAAACTGAATGGGTTATAACATTTTCTGGAAGAGAGAAAAGAGATAGATCATAAAATAAAATAAACAATTAAAGTGATGACAAAAACTACCTGACCATGGAGTCGGATCAATGGAAAATCAGATTTTTGAAATTTCAATCTTGGAGCTGTGTAATACGGTCGAACTACCGTAAGCAAAAGTATTCAAAAAGCAATATCAATCTAGAAAGAAGACTGAAAATTTCAAGTTACGGTTGTTAAGGGAACCGTTGAAAAAAGCTTATTTTTATACAAACAATAATTGATTCATAGAAATTTCATTTTCAAATGTGGGAAGATATGATTATGTTAATTTTACTGGGAATCAGAAATTATTTGGTTATTAATTGAATGATTGAGTAGTCTGTATGTCATTCTTCGAATCTTTTAAAATAAGAAAAACCTCTACAATACAAAACAGAGAGATTTCAAGTTCTGATATTTTTTTCAGTTTTTCAAAAATTTGAATAATTTCCCAGGTTTCAACGAGAACTAGATACCGATGTTTGGAATTCCGGAGAGCAATGACATCTGTCATCACTTTACAGAGTGCCGGATTCTCTCAATTTGACCTACTTTCTTCTTTTTCTTGCGGGCTCCCCCCGTCAAATGGTCGATTACCTTGTCTTCCACTCTGACTAATGACCACAGGAAAACCCGAAGAAGAAGAATAAGAAGGGAAAAGGACAGGAGCGAGTCAATTAGTGAAATGGCTCAAGAAATGTTAAGTTTTCCGAAAAAAAATAGGTCAGAAGGTCCCTAGAATATTTCAGGGGTACTGAAAAGAAATACTTTTGTGACGTTTTAGAGACTTAAGAAAATTAGTGAAAAAATAGCAGAACGAATAGAATGGAAAAAGAGAAAAAACAGAGTATCTCTTGATTGGAAATTAACCTCAGAGAAAAAAAACTAACGGAGTAGGAAATACAATTCAGGAGCAGAAGAAGAAGGAGCAAACCAAGGAAAAGTCAAGGAAAAAGTGACGTTAAAATTACATAGAAGACAATCTGAAAACTGAGAAAAAAAAGGATAAAGAAGAACTTGTAGACAGAGGATTCAGAAAATCTTCTGAAAAAAAGAGAAGAAAATGAAAGATGATCTCATTGTGAAAAGGAGAATATGAAGCGAAGAATAAGAAGAAGGTTCTTTGTGCATAATTCGATGTGTTGTTTTTGAAGATTTTAGAGAATGTAGATGTGGAAAAATAAAACAGTTTTCTTTGGAATAGTTCATTCTGAAGAATTGAAGTGTACTTTTCAACCCGGAATTAGGGAAAACAAGAGAGAAAAAGAAGAAACAAAAAAGTGAATCCGACAAAATGTCTATAAACAAGGCAAGTTGGAGAGAAGGGGAAAAACGAAAACAAGAGCAAGAAAAGACAAATGGGTCCGAACACTAATCCCAGGCCAAAGAATCTTCTTCACTTCACTATCAAAAGCATTTACACATTCTAGACCATTTCCCCCTTTTTTCCAGGCGGTTTCATTGTGACGTATAGAATGAAATGCTGTGACAATAAATTACAAAAACGGATGGACAGACAAAAAAACGCCGTGTTTTCAGTTTTTGCCTTTTGGCGGTAAGTTCCTGTGGGAATTGGAGCGGTAAAATTTGAGAAAGAGAATGACAAGAGATCATATGGATTGGTTGGAAGTCGAATTAAGATTTAGAATTTTGCAACAAAATTATCTGGAGTACACAATCGGAATTATTATTACTTCATAGATATTGACAACTTTGTATACCGTATTTTCTCTACGTCTACCCAAATCATCAACTTTGAGCCGGTTTTTCTCGGTTTCTGTCGAAGATATCAAAAAGTTGTCAACTGATAAAATGTTTATCATAATATCAGAATTATTTTATCAGTTGAAAAATTTTTGATATCTTTCACAGAAATCGAGATAATTGAGCTCAAACTTGATAGGCTGGAGGGCCTTTCTGTTACAGGTTTTACGGTATACTTGAATTTCACGACATAAAACCAATTTCAAAACTTAAAAAAAATCATACCATAAATCCTGTATTAGAATGGCATCTTTAATTAAAGGGTCCCTCTAATAAAAGGGCCCACCGAGAGGGGCTTGAAAAAATAAATGGACCCCCTGTAATAGAAGGGCCCTCTTCAAAATGTGTTGTTTGAAATGGAAAATTTCCGTACATTTCCGGTGAAAAATATTCCGGAAATTCCGAAATTTAACAGAAATGTGTTGAAACATAGTTTTTTTGTACTTTCTTAATTTTACTTTCCTAATTTTGGTGAAATTGATGGATTCTATTGGATTTTCATGCACTTTCAGAAAAAATTGGCCGGAAAAAAAGAACGTCCCCTGTAATTGAAGGACCCCTCTAATAGGAAGGCCCTCCGGAGGTGCCAACAATAGAAGGGCCGGTCCTTCTAATACAGGTTTTACAGTAACTACTCTGTGAAACGACTCTCAACCCAGAAAAAAGATGATAAACTATATCGATTTAGAAAAATACAATTGACGAAGAAAATTGGAGAAAATAATTCTACACAAAACTGGGAAACTTTTTTGAACCTTGTGACTTGTGACCAGCATTTTTCATAAGACAATAAGACAAGAGTTCATCGGACTAGCAATTTTATGTTCGAAATGACCAATGGTCTGAAGGAAATCGTTCCAAACCGGAAACATTTTCAGTAAATGAGCAAAGCACAAACTCGGGTTTTTTTTTTGGGACCAAAAGCTCATATTCAAAAATCTCAAGTTTGAAACTTTTTGGATACTCGGGGGCGAGAAGAAGCGAGGATGGGAAGGGATATGAGGGGTTATGGACTGGTGAGTAAGTGAAAATAAATGAGATGCACAAGCAAAAGACTTTCAATCTCAAGGGAATCAGGATTTATGGGGAGCAATACTGAGGAATCGAAATGGGATTTCATATTATATACACGAAATTCAATTTCTTTTAAAGTCACATCACCCGCGCGGATACAAAAATGAGGAAGAAAAGTTCCAGAACATATCTCTTATGACAGAAACAGCAAAAAATCAAAAGAAAAGAGTGAAAATAGAAAAAAGAAACAGTGATCTTCATCAATTTTTCATAAGTTCATCGAAAATGTATGAGACGGTTGGAGATGACAGGTTCTTGGTTTTTAGTGGCGGTGATAAAAGCTGTTCGTTGGGAAAAAAACTAGAAAATATTTTCTGGATTCATTGAACTCTCAAAAGAATTGAGAAGAAGAAGGCGGACGACTGGAAGGAAATGGCCTATTTGAACGGAATATTGCACTCAGATGGAGCACAGGAAAAAGAAAAAGAATCCCGGGAGCAATTTGAAGATTTGAAACTGGATGGAAAAGGCTAATTATAGGTTTGGCACAGAATGAAAAGAACGAATAAAAGAATCATGAAGGAGTGGAGCTAAAACGGAATGAAAAATATAGATTTTTTTGAATTTGAGCATAACTGACTTCTTTTTTTAATTAAAAAAATCATAAATTTGAATTTTGAAAATTGAAATTGAAAAATCAAGATACCGTAAAACCTGTATTAGAAGGGCCCTTTCAATTGACTGACTTTTTCCAAGTGTCCACAAATAATCGAACAAGATCAAAATCAAGGTACAAATGGAAAAGAGCTAAAACAAAAATTAGGCAACACTTTTTCGTCAATAGGGCGCTTAGTAAAATGATTTAGTTACTGCTGAGCAATTGCTCAATTTTCTGGCCTACTCTCTGTCCTCTATCCTATGTATTATTCTATGTTCATTGTTGGAATCTGATTATCATGTATTTTAATGTTTTTTTTCCTTTTTTTTCCACGATTCTTGCAATCGTAAATAAATAAATAAATAAATAAAATAAAATTGAAGAGCCCGTCTAATAGAAGGACTCTCCATGAAGGGATTGGAAAAATAGCATGGCCATCTGTAATACAAGGGCCCTCTTCAAAATGTGTTTTTAAATTAAAAACTTCCGTACTTTTTTTGTGATAAATATTCTGGAAATTCCAAAAATTTACAGAAATTGGCTGAAATACAGTTTTTTCTCAAAAACTTGATTAATTTTGGCGAAGTTGATCAATTTTCATGCATTTGGAACGATGTTTCACCTAATTTTTGAAAAAGAAAGTTAGGAAAACATGGCCGGAAAAAAAGCCCCCCCCCCCCCGGATATGAAAAGCCTCTCTATTAGAAGGGCCCTCCGAAGATACCTTGGAAAAAAAAGAAGGACCGGCTTTTCTAATACAGGTTTTACGATATTGATAGAAATAAAAATATCTTTATCTCCAACATATGGAACAATAGATCATAGAACAATAAAAGTTATCCAATAAACCCAGGAAAAAATAACTGCTGACCCACTCAAGTTCATAACAAAGAGAACTGCAATACTCAAAATTTCCTTCCGGACCTCTTTCCGAATATCTCTGTCACCAACCACCGAGGAAAAAAAAACAAGTTTGATGTTTGGCGACGACAACCCTTGGACCTTTTTGGGACACAAAAAAAAAAACAAAAAAAAAGAAGTAGAACGAGGAGATTCTTGAGATTCTAGATAAGTGATCTGAAAACAACCTCAACTAATAATGTAAACGAATTTTGGTGGGTCAAAATGGGTAAGGGGTAAGAAGAAGAAGAAGAAATGGTAAAGTTTTTGACTAAAAAGAAACCAGAGAGAATGCGTAGAAGAAGAAGAAGAAGAAGAAGAAGAAGAAGAAGAAGAAGAAGAAGAAGAAGAAGAAGAAGAAGAAGAAGAAGAAGAAGAAGAAGAAGAAGAAGAAGAAGAAGAAGAAGAAGAAGAAGAAGAAGAAGAAGAAGAAGAAGAAGAAGAAGAAGAAGAAGAAGAAGAAGAAGAAGAAGAAGAAGAAGAAGAAGAAGAAGAAGAAGAAGAAGAAGAAGAAGAGGAAGACCCCTGACGCCCATACACACCGATGGACCGGAAAAAAGAAAAGAAAGTGGTTGAAATGGGTCCCCAGAGACGGTAGAAAAAATAGTTGGAATCTTGAAGAGTTGCAGAGAAATCAGGATAAAAATTGGGAGGAACGAAAAAAAGAAGATGGATTAGGTGGAGAAACAGAAGAACCAAACTACCGTATAGAGAAAGAAAATGTGATCTTCATCTAGAATTTATGGTCGTAAAATTGTCATCTGACTCTTTCTTTTTTTGTTTCTTTTGTGAGGAACAACCTTTCTGATCTTATGGACCAATATTTTTATCTAGACTCTAGAGCCAAAAGTTCAATTGGGAGTTCCTCTAAAATTCATGTCATCTGAAGTAAAGTGACGTGGCACTGTCGGCTGGTTTCGTAACTAAGAATGAAAAAAAAAACAGCGCGTGCAGTTTTTTTGATGAATGACCGTAAGTGGAGTTGTTCGGAAATCTGGGTCCTTTAGGGAAAAATTGGATTGGTGGACACCAAGAAAACGGAGGATGCAGAAAAATTCCATGCACTTTTTTCCAGAAGAAAAGTATCAGCTGGCATAACGAATAGAGACGAAAAAATGAGCCAGGACCTTATAGACCTCACAAAAAAGCTCGCATGCGGAAAATCTCAATTTGTCTCAATATTTTTTTCTCGCGCACTCAAAAAGGTTCCGTAAACTTTTTTCATTGAATAGACAGGGCTTTTTCCTCTTTTTCTCTTTCGATGCAAAATATGAAAGAAACTGGCGCAACACTTATATTAAGGAAGCACAAAGAACATCTGAGTGGTTTTGACCCGATGCTTCTGCTTCTTTTGACGGAAAGATTTTAAGAGAATTGGGAGAAGAGAGGAGAATATTACGGACCATTAGATTGGAACAATGAGTAAAGACATTTGATGATGATAGAAATTATTATAGGAAATATGATGAAATCATGAAAGAGATTCAGAAGGTTCAGAGAGGGAACGAAAATAGTTGGATTAGGAATGTGATTTTTTAGATGAGAATTAAATGTTTTATTTCCCAAAAATTGGAATAACATAGGAATAACACCTTCTAATGAATAATATAATATAACAAGTAGTGAATTTCAAAAGTTTTAATTTTCACATCAAAGTACTGAAATTTCAAAAATTTTTGTGAGCCACGTGAATCTTTTGAATCTCCCAAAAGATGGACCGTTAAGTTTTCGGGAGCAACGTGTTTTTTTAACAAATATAACAGAAATATTAACACTTTCTGAATATTTTTTCCAAAATTAAAACTTTTGATAATCACTACTTGTTATATAGTAGAATGGAATACTGTAGAGTTGAATATACCTGAAAATACTGAACGATAATTATCAAGTTTAATATTAAGATATAAAAAGATGAGAAAAAAATTGAGAAATATATAAACTGACCGAGGAGAATAGAATAAATCTGTAAAAATAAATCGACAGTTACTACATACAAATGTGACATAGTGTCGATACGAATTTTCAAAAAAAAAAATGCTCAAATTCACTAAAACTTGTCGAAAAGATTTTTGGGTCTATCTATGTGCTGCCCACAAAAAATTGAGCTCAAATTTCCAAAATGTAAAATTTAGGGAAATTCGTTAATCCCAAGAATCATTTCCAAGATCCTGCGGGTTACTGGAAATGTGTTGTAATGCTTTTCGTGAAAGATACAGTACTCAGAAGCCAGGAGGCTGAGCCCCTGGCAGGGCGAGTAAACTGATTGGTTAAAACAAGTCAATTGAACTGAAATGAAAGATAAATAGTGAAATATCGGATCTGCAGAGCAGCTGATAGATCGGAGGCCAACTCAATCAGTTCTTGTGACACCTGTGGGTTAACTCGATTCCATTATTCTACCGTTTACCGATTCCAAATACGCGCACAACTTAACTCAATTGCTGTTTCTCTCTTGATCTCATTATCTCAGCTTTTGCACGTTTTTCCCTACTTTCTCGTAATTGAACAAGCCGTTTTTTAGGAATGAGGGAACGAATTATAGAATTGGGTTCGACTATAAATTTGAATTGGAAGACGGAAGAGACGAGGAAAAACAAAAACTTGAGAAAATGGAAATTATTGGTCCTGGCTGGCGTGTCTAGCTTGTCTCCGGATAAGAAAACGTCGGAAAGTAAAGGAAAAACGACGGCGACATTTAACTAAACAACACGTGTTTGTCATCAGATGAAGGAGTTGAAACAACGAGGAAATAGTGTCAAGAAATTGGAATCGCAGAGAAAAAGGATAGACGACAGAAGACGAAGGACGATGAATTGGCGAATGAATGGGCGACACAGAAGCAGCCTGATTTTTTAGAAGAAAAGACGAAGAATAAGAAGAAGACGGAGGGAGTGGAATGAGGGTCCCGTATGACTCATTATTGCTTTTTTTCCATCTAATTGAATGTTCTGATGGGAGAGAACTCAATTATTTTTTGAAATTGCACTTTTTTCTTTTTTTTTCATCATAATACAGTTCGCAAAGTTCATTTAATCTTGGGGAAATTAAATTTGCCATTCTGCTAAAACTGAGCTCAGTATAAACTACAAAAAAAGGAACTAGGACTTGCAGCAGAAACTCAATACGACGAAACAAATAAGAAACATTTTGGACGCCTCTAACGTAATGGGAAATGGGTCAGTTCTCGGAACTTGTTCCAAGAACTGACACGAGCAAAAAGATCATGATTAGGACACAGACAAAAGGGACCCAAAATTGGATTTTAGAGTAACGAGATAGAGGAGACGGAAAAGATCCAAATGGGTTAAACTTTTGAACTGGTCAGGGGGTCCAAAAAGTTACAAACCCTTTTGGATATCCTCAGTTTTGATAAATGGAAAAATCCGTGAAAAAAATCTGCTTCTGGTTCTCCCAATACCAAGTTCTAACTTATGGATCTTCAGTAGAATAAGTGTTGGGACCAAACTTCAACCCATTTCCTATTCTTCTCCCTATCACCGTGTCATGCGGACCTCTTTTCGTTTTTATCTCTTTTTTGCTTGTTTTCATTTTGCACAAAAATGCTCAATGACCCTTGAGAATCTGCAATTCTCTAGTGCTCCATGGACCAGCTCTAAATTTTAAAACACAACTTCTAGATGCTTGGAGTGGAAATCATGACTAATGAAAAAGAGGAATCAAAATTAGAAAAGCGTCGCCAATAAATTCGAGAAAAGAATAAAATGAGAAAAATCAGTGGAAGCACACACAGCTGGTTGCACCATTAAACACACCTTATTGCTCCAGGGAAGAGCTCAATGTGATTGGAAAAAGAACAACGGGAATTGGTGATAAACATTGATTGTAATCACTGGGGAATAAACAAGAGATAGAAGGGACTGATGGGTTTTTGGTGTCAAGTGTTTCCAACTGAATCAAGGTATTGGGAAGAATAGGGGTTTCAGGGAAATTGTTGGAAAACTTAGGAGGACCATCCAGGGATGTTCGGAATGGGTTTTTCGAAGTTTTTCGGAGATTCGAAAATTCCAAGTTTCCGAATCTCGGAATTTCGAAAACTCCAAGTTTTATAATTTCCAAGTTTCAAATTGCCGGAATATTCCTATTCGGAAGTTTTCCGAACTTCGGAAATCCGAAATTTTCCGTTTTCAAAAATTTTCGGTATCCCACTTTCCGATCATAGAGGAAAAATTGGCATTCAGATTTCGAAAAACCAAAAATTAGTACAAGTAAGACGAGACCCGCAAGGCTGCATTTTGTTTGCGCCATTGACTTACTGGAAGTCCAGAAAGCTCCAATTCTGTTAGGAATTTGATTTCGAAAATGATTTGAATTTTCGGAAAGTTTTTGATTACAGTAGAGTTTTCAGTTGCACTTAGTTCATATTTCTAAAAACACCCAAATCTTAAAGAATTTCGACAATTTTAGTTTCAGAATTTCGAATTTCGTGATCCAAGGCGGAGAATTTCGGAATTTTGGATTTTCGAAATAATAAAATTTGAAAATTTTCGGAATTTCGAAGTATTTCGATTTTGAAATTTTCGGAATTCCGGAGGGGCGGAATATTCCAATTTTAAAAACCCGGAATTTAGAAATATTTTTATTCCGGAATTTTCGGAATTCCACTTTCCGAACATCCTTGGCCATAACCAAAATCCAAAAAAAATAGTTCCAAATATAATGATACTTTTTTATAATTGGATGCGAGAAAGAGAGAGAGAGAGATAGAGAGAAAGAGAGTAAAAGTCGAGTCAGTTTCTTCTTCCACTGTCATGTCTTTATGAATAATTCAGCATCGACAACGAGACTCTTCTTCTACTCCTTTTATTCTTCTGCCTATTCGAGGATCCGAGTTCTCGAGTGGGAGGAAGAGCAAAAACGGACCGGTTTGATGACGATTAAAGGTGAAGTCCTAAATTTTTAGAACAGATATAGAGAAAGAAGATCAAAATTCAAAATTCAAAATGGAAATGGCTGCAAAAAAGAGGTCAAATTCTATTGTATATCGAGAAATAATCCAGTGGTATCAAATGCTCAAGTACGTGGACATAATATGTGGGAGGAAGGTATCCGATACCTTTTCGGCTCGAATAAAAAGCACCTTTTGGCTTTCTAAAGTAAACAAATCCCTCTTTTTTCAGTGAGGACTATTGTCTAGGTTTTCGGAATGTTGCCACTGGAAATGAGGCTTTTTTCAGGTAGCCACTATTTTGGAGAGCTATTTCTAGGCAGTTTTTTGTTCAAAGTGACGTCTATATTCGAAAAATAGAGAGAAGAGCAAAAGAGTATGAAGAAAGGTGTATTTTAAAAGAAAAGGGAAGACGTTTAAGGAAAGGAAGACACGGAAAAGAAGTGTAGGAAGTGCAGAATATTGAAATTTTTAAACTTCTATATTTGCCTAAAATGATGATGATGAAAACCTGAAAGAAAATGAAGTTCGAAGCACTCTCAAAAACGAGAAAAGAGAGATTCAGAGAATTAGAAAAAAACGGTTGGAGAGCAGCAATCAAAAAAACAAAGAACAGTCCTTTTCTCTTCCTCTGACTCGATGGATTGTTCATTTTTGTCTACAGTGTTACGTGAGACTTGCCATTACGTGTTTGTGCTCTCTCTCACCGAGAAAAGAGCACAAAAGAGCAAAGATACGTAGGCGGTTGGTATGGGGGTGATGAGTCAAGAGGATACAGGTAAAGATCGGGAGAAGGCTCTGCAGATCTATCTTGTTTTAATTGCACACTTG